AGTCGATATGTAAATACTAAATGTACATTATATGGATCAATGCAAATTGGAACAAAACAACAATTGTCAATTGAAGTTCTAATTTTGGAAAATTTAGTAACAAATATAAAATCCCTAAACAGCTCATCGATTTGTATGTTTGCGCTATTAAACAATGATCTGAAGTTGTCATGCAACTGACAACAATATCATATTTCAAAATACCTGTATATGATGATATTTTACAAATATCTCGGGATTTGTGGACCAATTTTAAACTAAGCAAGGCAAAAAGTCTCCATTCAAGAATATATCTTCTTCTCAAAAGGTAAAATACTTAAAATGCTTGATTAAATTGTTTACTTCGACGGTATGTAAATTAACAGCGTTTGACTTGCAAGACGTCAAAAACGGACGATTTCAACGCGCTATCGTTTATCGCGTATTCATTTGCCAAAAGAAGTATTTACGTCAATTGAAAGCTTGCTTATTAAAGAGCCAACTAGTAGAAGCATGATCGATTTGGAGCTTTATCGCATGGTGAAAATCGGTTTTGTTAAGAGGGTATCGTAAATGAAGTAAGATAGTGTGCTCCAAAACTACGATTATATCTATTCCTAAAAGTAACTCAGATTTCCTGTAAGTCATGTATACCGTCCTTTGAATAACCGAAAACAAGATTTTTAGGGTTTTAGATCGATTAGAAACGGTTGTCGTCGTGAAATTTATCTGTAAAATCAGCGCATATTTTCCCAGAAAAAATGGCGATTTAGGGTGGTCGTGTTAATACGGCATTTTCTCAAAGTTAAAAAAGCATTTGACCTAAATAAATATATGGTGCATTTTCCGATATAATAAGGTATATCTGGGCAAAATTTGAGCAAAATCGATTTTTCAGTCGTGGCCGCGCAATGTCTCATATGTTCGATTTTTACTGACATTCACTCTTAATGATTAACACTACGAGTGATATTTGAAAAATGTGCCAAAATTGCACAAGCCGTTAATAATTAATTGCACGACTTGCCCGTGTGATTATTTTATTTATTTTATGCATGGCATGATGACAAAATAGTTTTCTTTAAAATTCAACTTCATTTTGTCAAGAGTTTTTAATTCTTTTGTAAGCAATTTGGCATAAACAAACTTGGGAAATGATCATAAACTCATAAAGGCACATAACTTAAATAACATATGTTCAGAGTATTAAGAAAATCTTTATAAATTGTATATTTACAGACTTACATTATCACGTTTCACTGCATCTCGCCGAGATTATTTCTTAACACTGTTTCCAGGTATTCTCCACAGGCTCTTTGCCATACTATGTTTTTAAACTCATTCTTGTGCCAAAATTTAGTTCAATTCGTCCATGTGGTTTTTATACAAGATAAAGATAAATTTCCCCGCCATATTGGACTTGTCGTTTTGATTTCCCGCTCCACCCATGCATCCATCGAAAATCATTAATTGCACCACAGTAGCCCAATCTCGCAAGGGTCAAGTACCATCGCGACTGATCAAGTGCAAAGTCTCGGAAAATATTAGTCCAACAAAAGAGGCCTAGGAATAAAAGGAGAACACACACTATCGAATAGACAAATCAATTTCAGTTTAAAATTTATATTTTATTACATATTTTTACTATAATATACATTGCTATAATATACAATTCTATACTGTCGCTTGCGAGATTGGGCCGCCTGTGATCTATAGTATATGTTTGAATGCAAGTTCAATCACAGGGGGAAGATGGTGGGGGATAGAGACTTAAAAAATGAAAGCCCATACAGTATGGTAAAACCAACAATCAACATTTAATTTGTATGACTTTTTCATATTAATAAATAATAAATGTATATATTTGTCACTACAAGAAATAAAACAAACATTTGTATGATTGTATTTAGCTTTTAGTCTATTTCACGCAGCCTTCTTCTATCTTCGTGAAATAATTCACCCCCTCCTGTCACGTCCCTGTTACTTTGTCATGCGATATTTGTACGGAATGTTTTGAAAGACTCGTGAGCGAAATTTTACAGGGTGATAAAATGGCGAATTTCTTATGTTTTGTTTAGATTTTTTAGTTTCCTCCTGTTATAAAGGGTTAAATTTATTATTAGTAGAAAGGATGGAAGAGTAACAAGGCTGAATTGTTAACAAGCGACATGGGATGACAAAATGGCGCCGAATTTGGACAAAGTTGTGGATTTACCTTGTCGATGGTTAAACAGGTATGATCTACTTGAAACCAAGTTGAAACTTGTTTAAAATGTTCTTGATACCATTATGTCTGAGATGATTTACATTTTTTGTAGGATGTCGACGAGATCGCCGATAAACAGTGGAGTAAAGTGGAGAACTTGGCCAAATACGTCCATTTGCAGGAGGTAGGCACATTTCAAATTATTATTTCGGTCAGAAAATATTAACTATTTTACACCAAACCAGTGATAATATATTTAAATAAGTACCATTTATGTTTCTATCTAAAAGATTTAGGGAAAAATGTAATGTAAGTCCACTGCTGTTTATCTGAATTTGCAAGCCACAAGTTGACGTTTAACTATGATTATTGCATGGCCATTTTCTTGTAAAATATTAGTGCTAGGCATTTCACACTAACCAATGACCACCCCCAATAGTACCATCTCTGAACCATGTAAGCACCTCAGAATAGCCAAAGCTTTTATGGTTTGGTAGATAGCAGTATGGCGAAAGCGTCGTTTTTGGGTGTGGTCAGTTTCGGACGTTTCGTCCCAGATTGGGGTTCGGGCAGCGTTACCATGTTGACCGTCATGGTCAACTTGACCTAAAACAGTTGAGATTATCTGTCCTAAATGAAATGCATACAAACTCATATACAGGTCCTAGACTAGTAAGCATGCATGCATGCATGCATGCATGCAGTAAATTAATTATATATAACGCGACTTTGTTAATCGCAAAGTCTGAGAAAAAATAGGTCATTTGCATGCGCAACTTGCCTCAATCAGAACAGACTCTATCGAAGTATTTAGTGTACTGATTTCACTTACTGCCAGTTCTGCATTTTCAATATTTGTACAGAGATTAGTTTTACGATATTTGTCTATTTAACTCTGTAAGAATACCGCACTACTGCCAGTAAGAACAAACGAAAATGCGGAATAGACAGTAGCCAGTAAGTATAACTTAAACCAGGCAAACATGTCCGAATATCTCTACAGACTTTGTTCTGGAAACAGCAATTGAGGCAATTCGCAAACGACCTATATACCGTGTTCTCCAATTTTGCGATTTACATGATCGCGCACAATATAATAATAGCTACTGTTTACTGCAGAAGCCATATTAATTTGAACGGGTTATGCATCGATGGTGTTCCAATTAGTAAGGAAGTATCGTGATTTCTTGCCATGATAGGCAATTCACAACGCACCGCATGGTTACATATAGTAGTTACAGAACAACTTGACGTTCAAAATAGTATATATTAAACTGGAAATATGGTTGTATTGTTTGTTTCATGATTATATAAATTTGAATGACAATTGAATTATAATGATTTTGCATGGATATAATTACAGTAACTGTGATCAGTATTCTAGCTCAGTGCTTATTTATACTGTGTTGCATTTTAATACTGTGTCGAAGTAAACTACGTCAACCAAGTACAAAAATAATGAGAAACGTTTATAAGGCGTCTTTTTCAGGTTCTTGACCCCCCCCCCCTCCGCCCACCTCCCGACGGGGGACAAAGTTGAGAAAATAATTTTTCATGCTGAAAGGCAGACCGTCTGCCTGTATTATAATAACCCAGATTCCCGGTTTGTGATGAACGACACTGCAATTTGATACAAAATCACCACAAAATAATCCAACACAACTCCTTTCAATGAATTCACACAAATTTAACACAACACAACACAACACAACACAACACAACACAACACAACAAATGAAATGAACATGTTTTTTATCATTTTTTATTTTATGTAAATGAACATGATTTCTAATCACATATTAAAAATCTCATTAATAATTCACGAGGAAAGTACAAAAGAAATATATGAATGTTTAATCAATGTTTGTAAATCGGATAAAGATTTGTCCTGATTTACATAAACTTCAGCTTTGATTTCCTCGGCTTAGGCAACCTTTATTTTTATAAAATTACTTCGCCAATGAACTCATAAGATGGGTCGTTTTTTATATTAAGCACGTTAAAACATTCGCATCCGATCTTTATCTGATACACAAACTCTCGCCTTCGGCTCGAGTTTGTATATCAGATAAAGATCGGCTGCCCATGTTTTAACTAGTACTTAAATCACCAACACGGCAGTCATTTCTTTTGTATTTTCCTCATGAATTATTATTGATTTTTAGTAGACTAAAGCGTTGATTAAATCAAAACTGATTCATATATGTGTTTCTGATCGGCAAAGCAAGTGAACATGAACCTACATTGTGTAATCGTTGTCGGAAGAACCTGAACTTGTCAACGCCTAAACGCCAGGCCTCAAAAAAGGCCCTGCATGGGAACGAGGTTGGCGAGGCCTAAACCTTTCATTCCTGTGCTTCTGTTACTAAGCATAGTCATGAAAGCTGAAACATGTACAGTTTTACTGAAACTGTATGTCTTTCGATCTGTATTGTATTGTATTGTGTTGTGTTGTGTTGTGTTGTGTTGTGTTGTGTTGTGTTGTGTTGTGTTGTGTTGTGTTGTGTTGTGTTGTACTTAACTAAATCTGTTCTATTGCATTGCATTTCATTGCATTGTACTGTATTCTTAAATTAACTTTATTTAATATACCAACTCTTAAAGGGCCCACAGTAATTGGTGACCCTGCCATCCGTATATCTTAAGTGGCGAAGTCTAATAAATAAATTACAGTCGACTATTGACACACCTCGGAAACGTTACAAGGCGTACCAGGAAATTAGGTGTCCTTTAAACCGAGCTGTGCCCCTTGGATATCTTGTAGAGTGTTCATTAATAAAAGGTTCATTCTACACGGTGTCTTCAAGCTGTTACATCAAAACAGTACGTTTCTCACAACTTTATATGCTTGCTCCCTTAACAATGTTCTTTTCCAGAAAAATATAACGGAATTAAGGCTTGAATTCAATGCATAAACAGTCATAGACCAAGAATGCGAAACCCTAAAGTTCACTGGGTCGTCTTTGTAATACTGATAACACACAACAGAAGGAATGTAGCACAGATAGTTGATAACAACCACAAGTGCACAAGATTTGGCAAGTTGTTTTTCTCGCAATGATTTTTTTCTTTCAAAATTAAAAGAATTTTTTGTTGTTGGAGAATCATCGATTTTGTCCCCAGAGAACTGAATATTTCTGACTGCAAAGAAGATTCTGGCATAAGCAAATGTATTCAACACTACAATCACCAGTACAAATGCGCCAGAAGCTATGCCAATAATTTTGTCCGAGGCCATTATCAAAACAGGACTTATAATAACTGGCACGGCAGCACAACAATTACATATTAAAATCCTTCTTTTGGTCAAATTGGAACGATGAGTGAATGGATGCAAAATACTCATGTATCTTTCAATGGTCAGCATACTTAACGATATTAAGGACAATCCAAACATTATATAAGCTATTGTTTCTGAAATAAAAGTACCGACGCAATTTGCAGTATCCATCAGTTCACTTGCACGAACATAGGTGTATAGAGGTAGAGATATCACTCCGACTCCAAGATCAATCGTCGATTGAATAAGGATTTGGTAGTAGCAAAGCTTTGCCTTAAGTTGAGAACTTCTTAAAATAGTCAAAACTGAAATACCGTTCAATAATACGGTAGGAATCACTAACAAACAATTGACGATGCAGAGGATAATTTGGTTGATGATATATTTGTCGGAAGGAAAATGTTCGATTATAAAAGTCGAATGGCCACCAAAAGGACACGCGTGAGCATAATGTTGTGTAATAGTTTTCATCGTCCACTTGGTTGTTAGACCTATATACTACACGATCTCTTCACTTTAAATAGTGACCTTAAACATATATATAGGTCATACCCTACGGTGGCAAACAGCTTGTTGAACTAAACGATTGCAAGGAAAACCTGTCGTCTATTATCCATCCTACAGAAATAATATACAGTTCAAGGATCGAGGTTGCTAGGATCCAGCTTGAAATAACCGTTGTCCAAAGCTCAAAATGGAGATAATCGGTGATTCGCTGTTGCATGTAAACACAACGAGAAAGACAGATATCTAATGTTTTTTTGAGTTTTTAATTAATAATTCCTTTTCTACAATATTTATGTCATTACACTAATTAATGAACGTCGTCGTTGCATTTGCGTCCTTGTTGCTAATATCGGTAGTTTATAGGTTTTGAAGTGTAAAATTTAATGTTGTTTTTGTCATGTCCCAGAACTAGATTAAGCCTGGCTAAAGTTCGCTTTCAAATAATTATTATCTTCTGTAGAGCACGAAAAACAAGAATTAGAGCCTGAAAGATCCAATTTAATGCGATGTTTGTTTTACCGAGTTATTTTAATTTTCTTTATTGCAGTTATTAAAATGTTTTGAAAAACCAATATACATGTTTGTTCAATCGATCATCGTGGCATATACGTACTACTGACAGAATATAAATTAATGACAATACTTCTACTATTTTTTTTTTGAAAACTATGTATTGCATCCATTTGTCCCGCAGCTTCTAATTTTATTCAGGTTGTAAACTATAGAGCATGAACAAATATAATACTATAGCATTACCTAATTATCTCTCCGACGTGCAGGTATATAGTATGCATGACTTTATATGACGCATTTTTTATCAATAATATGAGTTGACCAGTTGGCCTATATATAGAGGATATTACAAGGGGCCGCGAATTAAGATATGACTTTTATCTTCGAGTGGTGAAAACAATATTTTGCGAACGAGCGCAGCGAGTGAGTAAAATATTGTTTTTAACACGAGAAGATAAAAGTCATATCTTCAAGCCACCGTGTAATGTTCTGTTTACTATATAGTCCCAAGCAAAAAATTGTGAAGTTTCACGCTCAAAAGCAAATTGGAAAAAGTCACGTGATCGATATCTTCACTAGTGAAGATATCGAAAATATCTCACTGTGTATTTTTCAGTCTGATCTCACTCGCTACTATGTAATAATACACTATATAATAGTACACTTATAATATATATATATATATATATATATATATATATATATATATATATATATATATATATATATATATATATATATATATATATATATATATATATATATATATATATATATATATATATGGTGTTCAAAATGAAAAAAATGAAAAATAAAAAATTTTAAAAAATTTAATTTTTTATTTTTAAAATTTTTTAAAATTTTTTAAAATTTTTTATTTTTCATTTTTTTCATTTTGAACACCATATTAAGCTCTGCGAATTTCCCGCATCGAGCACTGTACTCGTTTTGGCTTCAACAACCAAGCTATATATATATATATATATATATATATATATATATATATATATATGTATGTTGAAATGTTGAATTTGTGTTATCTCATGGACGCGTTTACGATCGCTACTCTATAATTTTCGGTATAGCTTGGAAACTGCTCGATGTCGAGGCGTTGCTAAAAATAAGTATGAATCTGTCTTAATACGCGCCCTCATTAGATTTTCATAATTTTCAAATCTGCCTTATTGGTTTAATATTCTCTTTTGAGTCTTGGAGACGTTCGATTCTCGGCAAAACCAATAATCGTCCAGTGCTTGCAACATGTCAAAATCAAGCATGTAGGTGTAACATGTTTTTAATGTTACTTTCTATTATTTTGCGCGAGTTTATTGGATCGCTATAACTCTCGTTAATGCTGTTGCGGTGTTCCTGTCTGAGTTATAATATAATTATTCAGGTATATTTTCAAGGTATAATTCAGATACTCTTCAAGGGCGGATCCAACTATAGGCAAAATATATGCACGTATAGGCATTGAGCCATGCACGCATATAACTATACGGGGTGGATTTTCTATCCTTTACCTCTTGTACGTTTGTTCTCAAGGCCGGTACCTGTTTTTTAAAGCAAAAGTAAGATAAAGGGGGCGACAAACAACGTTGTTTTCCAGAAGTCTCTGTAATTAAGTGTATATTTTAATTTTGTCGACCGGAAGACATGCTTAAACTCTTGAAAAAACTTTGCTGGTCGACACGAACAACTCGCGCCTCACACCAATTGTTTTATTGTTGACAGGTTGCCCCCTTACCGAAACATGCAGTGAATATACGTTTTGTTTGACCGGCACGTGGTTTTGACCAATTGAAACAGGATCAAAGGCCGTTGAGGCCGACTCACGGATGAGATCAAGTGAAAGTGACAGAAAGGATTAGAGCAGTTTGCAGTTGTTTTTGAAAACGAGCACTATGCGAATTTTGCCATTTGTTGTGCTTCTTTTATTGCCAAATCAAAAGAACGAACGCGTGCTCCAGCCAGATTTCCGGTTCTGAAAGGCCCGACTCGCAGGCAAACAGTGCGCGCAAAGCAGGCTGGTCATTTACCATTCATTAACTTCCCCATACCCATGTTGCTTCGCAACATCCGTGAGTCAAAAGTTGAACTTTGACATTTACTATATAATAACAATACCAGAAACCCAGAATTACCATCAAAAGTTACCAGAAACCCAGAATTACCATCAAAAGCTAATCACGTTGGGTTCCCATTCAAAACAGAATATGAATAAATTTTTGCCGGGGACAAAAATTATCTTGACACGTTAATGAAACAATATTATAATATAGCATTTGTAAATTCTGAACGCTGATTGGCTAAGAGCCGTGTTGATATAACTCAATGTCAACACGGAAAAGTCGGAAAATTTCTTTCCGTATATTTCTTTGTGCTATATTATAAAACAAATATAAAACATTTGTTCCGTATTGATATATAGTTATATCAACACTCGTGGAAATTGTGAAAACTCGAAATTGTCTGAAAACACTCCGCCCTTCAGGCGTCGTGTTTCCACACAATTTCTCGTTTTCCCAAGTTCCACTCGTGTTGATATAACTGTATATCAACACGGAAAATGTTTTATATTTGTTAAGTGTTGTTCACATTATGTCGGCTTGTCCCAGCTAGGCTATCTCATGACTGTGTAACATCTTCATCTCACCGATCTCTAGCTCAACAGCGAATCAGAAGAGAGTGACATCCAACTAGATTCCTGGGAAAAGAATATTTACAGCCAATTCGACCACGAAATTAGAAAAACAACTATCACCAAAGCAGAGAGACATAGTTGTTATGAATGCAGCAAAGAAAGAAATTGATTTGAAAACCATTATGCTATCGTGTTTTGATGTCATATCCGAACGTTACACAATCATTAACATTGCTGCAACGTTGAAATCTAACATTGCTAAGAAGATATTGCATGACGTCCTGGAGCGTTATATTTCAACGTTAATTAAACCAACGTTTACACCACATGCATGCGCTCATTCCGGATAGAAAAGTAATGTTGTGTAAACGTCGTGTGGAAGTTATTAGTTAACCGTAACTTTGGAACAACCTTTTACCAACGTTATAATAACGTCATGTGCTAGCTCTCTCTCCACGCTGAAACGGTTAAGTCGAACCGTTAAAACATGCTGTTCAAAATAAATAGGAGAAATCCTCTCAATATTGGGGGAAGTATGCTATATAATAGTCGAAATTGGAGGAAAAACGACAAGTAGGGCACAATGGGAAAAAGTTGGGGAAATTTCTATCGCCCCCCCCCCCCTAATTTTTTCCTTTCCGTACGCCCATGGCTATAATGAAACATCAGTTCATTATTTTATTTTATTATTATAGTGAATGTGTTTCTGTATAGTGTTCGAACGTAAATTTCTACAGAATTTTAAACCATGAGCATGCAGTTGTGATTTAAAGGCGTAACAGGGTGTCTGAAAAAACGCAATGGAAATTCAACAGGCTGTCGTGCATCATAAACTTAGCTAAACCATTGAATTTTTACATAGGACGAAAGAGCTGTTATTTAGCTTTTCTGTGATATCTCTTTTAAATTAAATCGTAACGATGAGAAATGACCACATACACGTCAAATAGAAATTGCCGGCCGAAATCACATTCTTCCACCGTTGGGAATTGAAAATACATTAATTATGCAAAGTTAATCAATCCAAAAGCGATGCGAGTATGCTGCAAGCTATTTGCTTCGTAAAATGTTTTGATCACGAATGTTCTCTGTTCAGGGGTTAATTGAACCATGTTCCATTAAAACGTTCTTATTTTTCACCCTGCTCGGTTTCCTTTGTTCTTATCGGGGAATATATTCAATATTCCTCTCTAATCAATTTCCGTTTAATAATCCCCTCTACTATTCACCTGCAATGTCTTTGCAGCCACAAAAAATGAGAAAAAACAACATAACGAAGGCAATATGGCATTAAGAATTATTTCTATTCTGATTCATTAACGCGACCTCGCAATGTGAAAAATAAGTACGTTATTTTGGGCACCTCGGGGATATGTGTTTATTCACCTCGGCGCTGGGCGCTTCGGTGAATAAATCACATATCCCCTCGTTGCCTCAAAATAACCTATACTTAATTGTATTCCGTAATATTAGTTAACCAAAAACTGTTGGCTGTTTTCTGATGCTGCACCCCAACCAACTGAACCACGGAGTCCAGCTTTCGAGCTCCAACCACAAGTTCCTGCATACACATAGTGGGTGATGGTACAATACCGTATTGGTACTGGTACAAGGTATTGGTATAATACCTTAGTAAAACGTTTAATTAATAAATTAAGTCTGCCATTCAAATGGTATATAGAACAATATAAATATGCATGCATGCAGCAGCTATACATGACGAAATAATAATGATATAACAAGAAAGCTACGTTTGTGACACTGCATGACGAAGCAACTAACAAAACTCAATATGTCATGTTCGCAGTTCGCCTATAATTTATAGGTGGCTATACAGGGTGTATCAAAAAAGGTAAGACAATTTTGAAATTGCTCTCAATTCCACAATTCTGTTCATGAAATGTAATTTTTGATATGTATGGATTGCTTGAGTTCTTAAATTATGGAAAATATAAAAAATTTTGAAAACAGTAAATTTTGCTATCCAGGGGGGTGGTCAACTTTTGCTCCCCTAAAAGTGGTTTGCGCACGGAAATGACAAACGGTATTCTTTATTTGAGTCCATGTATGAAAAATTCGCTGTTTGTTGCATTTATGATAAAATTTCGGCAGGATTTTACCGAGTACAAATCCTCCAAAAAGCCTATGAACACGAATACATTTTTCTCCGTTGGTGCTGTTCTTGCTTCATTATGAATTCATTTTTACTCCCATGAAAGTTCCATGGAATTTCCATGGAAATTGTGCTTTCGAGTTATTTGTGCTGAAACGCATTTTCTCGTATAATACCCTGTACACTTTGAAATGGCGATGCCACAATTTACCCCGCAGCAGGGAGCTTTTATGGTATCAGAGTTCCTCCGTAGAAACAACATAAACTTGGTTCGCCAAAGTTTCACTTCAAAGTTTTATTTACTTAAAGAATTAAGATACATAATTGACATGACTAATTTAAAATCAAAATGCAAATGCGAATTTGCGAATTCATAATGAAGCAAGAACAGCACCAACGGAGAACAATGTAACGTTTTCATAGGCTTTTCGGAGGATTTGTACTCTGTAAAATCCTGCCGAAATTTTATCATAAATGCAACAAATAGCGAACTTTTCATACATGAACTCAAATAAAGAATACCGTTTGTCATTTCCGTGCGCAAGCCACTTTTAGGGTAGCAAAAGTTGACCACCCCCCTGGATAGCAAAATTTACTATTTTCCATAATTTAAAAACTAGCAATCCATACATATAAAAAATTACATTTCATGAACAGAATTGTGGAATTGAGAGCAATTTCAAAATTGTCTTACTTTTTTTGATACACCCTGTATGGCCTATAGAGTTATTTGATGATAAAAATAACAAATAAAGACGTTATTATCGCGATAAAAACGTTGATGCTGCATGGATCCGATTAAGATAAAAGGCAAGACGTCTACTTTACAAAGCACAATTAAGAGTGTATTGACAGTGGCGTAGTTAGCGGTCCCGCTGTCCCGCCGGGCGGGACTAACAATTTCCAAAAAAATGTGTAAATGTTTTGTAGTGAAGCCAAAATCACTGCTAATTTGCTTATTCTGAAAATTTAAATATAATTATGGTAATTTTTCAGCGCTTTCATTTGTCATTTATTTAAAGTTTACGCAATATTGCTGTCTGCTCTTTGACCTCTTTGTTGTCTAGTAACTGATACCCTGTAGAATTAGCTAATTTCCACGCAATTTATTGCTTACTCACGCTATTCGTGAATCGCATGTCTCGTGTTCCGCTGATTTTCATGTGGCGGGATACGCAATGCTATCTTATACAAGAAATTCTGGTTTCTGGTTGGATAATTGGCGCAGCGCATGCCCAGAACGGTTGTTTTTAATGCCGAAGTCCCGCTATTTTATGAAGGCGGAGGTTGTTAATATTCAAACCTTTCTGACGAAGCTTTCTGCGCGAGTATTCACGACTGTGACGGTGGTAGGTCATCATATTACTATTCATATCATATTTGATGTTGCTTTTGTGATTTGTATACAATGGCTTCAACGAGCGTGACAAGCCTTATGGAAAGCCACAGCGGAATTTCATTTCATTCGTTGCTTTTAGCATTATATATGTGGTGCTTTTATCGTTATACGAGGTGCTCTTTACATTATACGCGGTGCTACACTTCGAGTTCGAGCATTATACGCGATGATTTTGACATATATCAAGATATATGGGCTACACGCAACATTGTACGAGGTACTTTTAACATTATACGTGGTGCTTGAGACATTTATTTAATAATATACGCGGTGTTTGAGACATACGAGGTGCTTTTAGCATTATACGCGGTGCTTGAGACATTATACGCGGTCGGTATAACGTTATACGCAGTACTCAGTGCAGAAGGCAATATTTTTCCCTAGCACAGCACTTCTCTGAGCTCACACAGATCTTCTCTGGGCCAGATGGCATTTTTTGTATTTTACGAAGCGAAAATACTCCTGTTAGAGGTGTATGGAAACTTTGTTTAGTGGCATCCTTCCACCCTCGAAATCGCAGGAAATGCCATTTCCGCGGTTCTAGATTTCAAATTTTCTCGGGGGGGCATGCCCCCGAACCCCTCTAGGAAGGTCGCACCTTCGGTGCGAGGTGTCCGCCTTCGGCGGGACGATTTTTTTCAGCCAGCTACGCCACTGTGTATTGATAGTATATATAAATATATTGATAGTATATATACATCTAGACGAAAATAATATAATAAACGTCAAGTGTTTTTAATGGAACAGCTCAACTTACTGTACTGTACATAGATAATTAAAACAATTAATCTTGTAAAATAAACACAACTTTTCAATTATAAAACGCGCTTGCTCTTGTTATTTTTCTATTAGACGTGTGCAGTACAGAGAGCGTGAACGACATAGGTCGCAGCATAGTCAATGATGAAAAATATTACACAATATTTTGTGAAGGCGTGTCCTTTTGCTAGCAGTGTTACTTTTGTCATCGAACATTTTCCTTCTAACAAATACGTCATCAACCAAATTATTCTCTGCATCGCAAATGTTTTGTTAATAATTCCTACCGTATTACTGAACGGTATTTCAATTCTGACTATCTTAAGGAGCTCTCAACTAAAAGCAAAACTTTGTTACTTTTTAATTCTAATTCAATCGGCGACTGACGTTGGAGTAGGAGTGATATCTCTACCTCTATACACCTTCATTCGTGCAAGTGAACTGTTGGGAACTGCAACTTGTATCAGTACTTATGTTTCCGAAACAATAGCGTACCTCGTATTTGGACTGTCCTTAACGACGTTATCTATCTTGACGTTTGAAAGATACATGAGTATTTTACATCCAATCAGTCATCGTTCCCATCTGACCAAAAGAAGAATTTTAGTATATCATTGTTGTGTTGCCGTGCCAGCCGTTATATATCCACTGCTAATACTGGCATTTCCTTCGCAGAAAACGTATGGCGTCTTCGGTACCATGACTGTATTGATGATCTTGCTGTTGACTACATATGCTTATACAAGGATATTTCTTGCAATTAGACATCTGCGTTTCTCTGGCGACAAGATCGGTGATTGTTCAACAGGACAAAGTTCGTCTAATTTGGAAAGAAAAAGATCACTGCAAGAACAAAAGTTTGCCAAGTCGTGTGCACTTGTGGTTGTTATCAACTATCTCTGCTATTTCCCTTCTATTGTTTCTTATCTGTATTTCAAAGACGACCCAGTGAACTTCAGAGTATCTCATTCTTGGTCTATGACTGTTTATGCATTGAACTCAATTCTAAATTCCGTTATATTTTTCTGGAAAAGACCATTATTACGAGAGGAAGCATTGAAAGTTTTAAGAGATATTTTGTGATTCATAAAGCGTCAATTTTAAACATTAAAATTGACAAAATATCGGCTGTTTTTGAATTTGGTTATATATTAATATTATTCTGCAGCTTGACACTATTTTAATTAATTTCTGTATGGATCATTTGACGGTTTTGACCTTGCATGCATCATGCATGCATGCATGGCAATAACGATATAATTATAATAAATCTTGTAATTTATCATTATTTGAAAGCCAAAACCAGCCGACAATTCAAGAATGTAAAGTACATGCAGAAATTTAACCGCTCACTAGGGTTTTAATTTGCATTATACTATATGCACTATAACTATATAGCTTTAAAAAACTCATTAACAATTCAGGAGGAATACACAAACAAAAATCATAAGCGTGTCGTATCTTTATATGTGATAAAAAATCATGTTAATTTACATAAACTTTAGCTTTGATTTTCTCGGTTTAGACAAGGTTTATTTTGAAAATTACTTCGCTAATGTACTCATCAGAAGATGGGTCGTTTTTAAGCCATTTAAAGAACTTGTAGTCGTGTTTTATCAGATATAAAACGCTCGGCTGCGCCTCGCGTTTTATATCTGATAAAACACTCCTACGAGTGCTTTAAATAGTACATACAATGTCATGCACTATGTAGTATTCAGGAGACTCCTGTTTCTTCCCTTCACATGACACGAAGACGGAATTTATTGGACATATTGACAATGCTATCTTGAATATTGCAATTTGCTACTTTTGTGTTGAACGTCTGTTACCATGGCAACAGCGTGCTTAGAATAAAGCTCAACATTTTTCGTTTCCGGTCATTTTAAAAATTCCATTCGGTATAAAAGTTTTCATGTACTCAAGTATTGTCAAAGTATTGATTGTAAATTTATCATTTATAGACCCTCTACTCGGGGGATTCGGCGGAATATTACCTGAAGTGATGATAATTTCCGAGGGACTTTGCGCCGAGGAAAATATCATCACTGTGGGTAATATTCCGCCGAATCCCCCGAGTGCAAGTGGAGGGTCTATAAATGATATATTATACTGAAAGTTACAGAATTCACCAAGTTCAGAATAAACTTTAAACTTGAAGCGAATATAATTTTTAATTTCTTATGTATACCTGAGTTTTTGACGTTTTCTCTTTAAAATATTTGAGCATGTATCCTTTGGATCGTTGCAGGTAACATACGTCTTGAAAATCTTTGGTTAACTTTAAATAAATCTTCTGAACGAAATTACAAACAACAGCTCGCGAACGCCATATTGTTTCAGATCGTGGTGTCCAGGCGTCACGCGTGAGCGTGAGATACTATAATATCCCACAGTGGATCTACCGTGGGATATTTATCATTTTTAGACCCGGAGCGAGGGGGATTCGGCGGAATATTTCCAGAAGTGATGATATTTTCCGAGGGGCTTTGCCCCGAGGAAAATATCATCACTGAGGGAAATATCGCCGAATCCCCCGAGCGGAGGGTCTATAAATGATATATTACACCGAAAGTTAAAGAACTCATTAAGAGTCTATCAAGTTTAGAATAAACTTTAAAACTTGCTGAATATTAATATTAACTACGCGAATACAATTTTTAATTTCTTTTCCATACTTGAGTTTTTGACGTTTTCTCCTAAAAATATTTGAGCAAGTATCCTTTGGATCGCTGAAAGTAACATACGTGTTGAAATATTTGGTTTACTTAATATTAAAATCTTCTGTAGTTCTGTACGAAATTAATACAAACATGCAACAGCTCGCGAACGCCATATTGTTTCAGAATTCAGAGCGTGGTGTCCACGCGTCGCGCGTGAGCGTGGGATACTATAACATCCCACGGTGGATCTGCCGTGGGATATTATAGTATCCCACGCTGGATTGCGAAATCGTGAATTTGAGTGAAATACCGTAAAAAATCACACTATCACGTGGTACAAATGCTGTTTTTTCATTGGACAATTTGAATTTGAGGTATAATATTATAGTTTATTCATGTTACATTTATGTAAATATAGTTTCGACAAACTAAGTGGTAAAGGCCAAGATTAGTATTTACCATATATAAAACATCAGTTCAACATTAAATATATCAAGACCAAGATTTAACATTGATATTTTAAAAAGATTTTATAATTGTTGACATTGAACAGAACGGTGTATTTGTCAACAGTCATATTGCATACCGTATTTACTCGTTTGAGCGTCGCGCGCTCTTTAAATTTTCAGAGCTTCAGATGCGCTCATTCGGAGGCGGCGCTTAATCAAGTAAATACAGTATGTCACACGATTTTATCAAAATATTGTGTAAAAATAACTCCAAGAAAGAACATAATAGCCTATAAACGTGAATAGTCCAGGAACGTTAGCTATATCTAACGACATTTTTTCAGATATTCAACATATCATTCATTTGTATATACAGTACCATGTTACCATTTTATATGCGTATATATATCTTGTGTCCACATACGGCTCGCTCTTACGAACGATTTCAATCACTTTAAGTACAGTTCGATCTTAATCACATAAATACAAAAATACGCTCTTCTTACCTCCCCCTTTAATGTACTATCCACAGAAAATACGACTGATAAAAGACAAGATCACGAAAATTTTCCACTTTATTACTGAAAATGCACTTCTGGCCAATACATTTCCCTATTATTCTTGCCGCAATCTACTTGCCCGGCTCCCTACTTCCGCTTCCCTCCCAAACACGCCCCAGCAGAGAAGCGGAAGTAGAGAGCCTGGCTTGTGAGGTTGGCAACATGGCGGCTGTCAATTTCCGCGCGAGGCGGCAGCGTCAAAAACATCAAATGAGTACGGTGGCCTTTCTGTTCATTTCTTTATTCTGTGTGTCCCGCGTGCATTTCGTAAACAACATGAAGGCATATTTCATGACGTGTTGGTATTAATTTGAAAATGTTTGTCAAAATTCGTCCCGTGGCAAGTTAGTACTTTCGTCCGATGTTTTTGCAAAACGACCGTTCCTCAGATATACTCTCCAACATGCATTGAGTTCAATATATCTCCTCATAATCTTTGCATGAATCTTTACATCGCCTAATAATATGAACGTTCCTCTTTCGAAAGAACATGGTTTGTTCACCATTTGGGCAATTACCGTGACATACAAAGAACTTTGTTTATCCAAAACTCAAATTTCCATTTTAGACGGAAGCGTTCACGACATGATCGTTGCCACAAGAGCGGCTCAGCAACCTGGCCTGGCCTCATTCATTTGAAAGAGGAACGTTCATATGCTATTAGACGATGTGAAATTATTGCTATGCAGCGAAGCGAGATATTGGAGTCGATGTCGGAGGGTATATCTGAGAAATGGCCAGCCTTTACTTCTTTTTCCTCTGTGTCGTTCAGTGTCAGTATTGACGACCGTTCAAGTACGACGAAAACATATATCGCATCAACTAGACTCAAGCAGAAACACAACAAATTTATACATAATATTATATTCATAAGTTAGGTATATTTTTTACATATGTTGTTGATATTTTTGAATAACTTCGTTTATTTTTTAAAATACTTTTCATAATTTTGATATAAATATTCAAAATATATCGACAATTCAGAGATTGGGGTGTCTTTGCAAATACTGGAGGAAAAATACAGCGATCAAAAACGTCCAGAATACAGGGATGCAAATAAAGAAGATTTTGGTTCTAAAAGGAAATCTTCTTTAATTTTATTTTAATATTGATTAAAGAGGATTTTGGTGTTGCTCCATACAGTTTCATGAAAAGTGGAAAAGACACATTTCAGACCAAAACATTTTGTACATTGATATTTTTATAGAATAATGAAACCAAACATAGAACAGTATTTTCAGAATCAGAAACTGTAACGCAAAAGTCCGTGAAAATATCAGACCAAAAAATTTTGTACATTGATATTTTTATAGAATAATGAAACCTGTTGTTTTGTATAAAACAGTATTTTGAGAATCAGAAACTGTAACGGAAAAGTCCGTAAATGTGGTTACTATGGCAACAATGATGTTTCAAAATGGCTAGGGCTAATTTGCGTTAAAATTAATTTAATTTGAAAACAATGTCGCGGTGACCATCAAGTTTTATTATATTAAAAGTTATCTGTTAGTGTGAGTAATCATTAGGCCAACTTTTAAAAAATTCTGTAGATCCAAAAAATTTTAGTCAGGAATAAACACGGTTTTTTTCGGAAAAATTTTGGATTTACAGAATTTTTTAAAAATTGTCCTAATGATTGCTCATACTAGAAAAAAACTTTTAATAAAATAAAGATTGGGGCCGGTCACCGACGTTGTTTTCAAATTAAACTGCAATCCTGGAAAAAATTAGTAGACTTCTTTAAATTTTTAAACTCTATCCCCCTCCCCCCTTATACAATATTGGTATTTAGGTGACATGTGTTCCAAATCCACTTTACCTGAACCAACATTGTTTCTGAGAGGAGGGTGGGGGTGGGGGGATTTAAGGTAAATATTTTTTTTTTTAAATGCTCACATTCTCATCATATGTTTTCAAATTTGGGTGTATTTTTCGAAAAGTCTACAGATATATATGTTTTCCAAGATTGTAGTTCAAATGCAAATTAGCAGCCATTTTGAAACGTCATTGTTGCCATAGTAACCACAGTTACGGACTTTTCCGTTACAGTTTCTGATACCCAAAATACAGTTCTATACAAGACAATCGTCGTCTGGTTTCATACTTCTATAAAAATATCAATATACAAAATCTTTTAGTCTGAAATGTGTCTTTTCCACTTTCCAAGAAACTGTATATGGAGCCATCTTAATAATTTTAAAGTTTGTTCGTTCACTGCAACCAGGTATATCAATCATGTTTCACTCGCTACTCTGGTTTAAATAAATGATTACATATCTATTCTTAGGAATCTCCACCCACTTCCGTGCTTTTGGAACTTTGCCAGGGATTCTAACATTTTCTCTTTCATGACGTCACAAGTTTCCACTGTGTCGCCTCCGTTGATAAGTGTATGAGTGTCCGATTTGAACCATGCGATGGTGGTAGTTTCTTCCCCTGTTTTGGGATCATTTCTAACCACTTCGCATACCACCAGGATTGCTGAGACTTTCTTTGCCTCCTTTACGGAGTCGATCATTGCAATCACTCAATTCAACTCTTTCCGTCAATTCCTTGTGTGGTCAGCACAGGTGTTAGTTCCTCTTCCGGTTCCGGATTGGAGTCATGCCATTCTTCAACTGGTCTCTGGCGTCGTACCACAGGTCCTCTTCCTCACCCTTGTATAGTCCGATTATTTTCCTCTTCATGGTGTTGAATGCGTTGGAAACGCTGCTCTTGATGGTCTTTGGAACGCGAGTGGTTAACCAGTTGTACCACCCTTTCATCTTGTCCATAACTCCTTGCGAACCTTCAGTCATGATTGTTTTTATTTACTATGAAAAAGTTTTGTCTTTAAATTAATCCTAAAGTTGACTTTGTTTTTCAAACCCAAATGGGTTGAAAGTAACAATCATGACTGGTTCGGAGTTTTGGGACTTGTAGGCGAAGTCCTCTTTATGGTTTGTAGTAATCATGTATTGTCAGTTCTTTGTCCAGGGTTAGGTCTTCTTGTGCTTTTCGCAGGGAGTCCAGCGCATGGTTTGTTGCTTCCATATCTGTTTTGGCGTCAGCTAGTTCCTGTCTGAGTATTGCTATTCTGGGTTTTTTTTTCTACTTGTCTTTCATACCATTTTTCTTTGGCTTTGGCTAACTTTTCCAACGCTTTGTTGTGTCTTTTCATTTCGTCTTCGTAACCGCCATGGTTTAATTTACTGAACAGATATCCGGCTCCTGCGAATGCAACTGCGTTAAATAATCCTCCAACTACAACACTTGCCATCTTCTTTTATTTTAGTGATACGGTTTAATGGAATGGATCTCATCGGGTACTATTTTCTTGGTTTGTAAATAGTGAACGCCAAGCGCACCGACTCCAACAGCCATTGCTAGTTTCATGATTCGTTTCGGATTACTAGTATCTCCCAGACTGTCACCTGCAAATTTTTTGCTTACCACGGATACAGCGACTGCACCAAGGGTGAGAATTCCAGCATCGTAAGCTTCGTTCATTAAGTCTTTTCTATCTCCCATTTTTATTATATATGAAAAAAATTTACTTTTTTCTTTTAAAAATAATTTCTTTTTCCGTATTCGTTGTATAGGAAGTTGGTTAATGCAAGGGCTAGAATCCAGAGATTCTTCGCCAGAAACGCAACACCTTTTGCTCCCCATGTTAGCGCTTTAGTAATGAGGTTGAGTACGGATGTTGGTATGGGTCCAACCTTTTTGGCTACGTTTGCCACTGCTTTTGCGAATTTGTTTGTTGCTCCTTTCTTCGCTACAACTAATATTCCGGAGATATTTTCTTTTGTACATTTTTTAAATCTTTCGAACCTTGTAAGATTGTTTGCGTCTTCTTCCTCTTCCACGATGGACGTAGTTTTTTATCACTTTCGTCGTTCGTTTGATCTTAACCTTATTTCGTCTGCTTTTAGCTCTGCAATATCTGCCATCGCCTCGTACGTAGAGGAGAGCCCTCTGTTCACGTTCTGCAGTTCGTTCGGTTTCAGGTAGTTCTTTCCAATGGTTTCTTTCTATTTCTAGAAAGCTAATTTTTTCCTTACCTGAGTTTCCTTTAACGTTTAGGATACCTCTTAGTTCATTTTCTGTTATAACTACGCTACTGCTGATAGCCTCACTTTGATTAGATAATTCATCATCCATTCTTTCAACAACATTTTCTAACACATTATCTACAATTCTTGAGGAGCGTCTAGGTTTTGCTGTTCGAGTCGTTCCTCTACTGCGGCTGCAGGTGTTTTTGAGTGTTCTATCTTGGCTTTTCTAATCAGTTCCTTGTATTCGTTTACAGCGGATTCCTTACTTTTGTCTGTGGAATATATCATTTTTAGATTCTTTAAGATAATGATCTTAACGTCTTTGAATGTAGCGCCGTTAATTTTTGTTCCAGCCCTATTTACGGTTAGTTTCATTTTGTCGAAGATTATGGTGGAAGATGGTCCGTCTCCTTTGTTGATATTTACCTCGAGTTCCCTTTTAAGGAGATCCTTTTTGTCCAATGTATAGGACCGTTTCATTATTCCAACATCTCGTCTGATGTTTGGTGTGGAACCGTCAGGTCTTGATCCATCAACGACTGGATTAAATCCAACAGGAATTAATATGCTCTTTCTTGTTTTCCGTTGTCGTCGTCAATGAAGCTTGTTTCTCCTTCCTCCTTTGCCTCAGCTTCTTCAGCTTCGCGGTTCGGTTATTAGGGTTTGCAGTGGCGTAGCTGGCTGAAAAAAATCGTCCCGCCGAAGGCGGACACCTCGCACCGAAGGTGCGACCTTCCTAGAGGGGTTCGGGGGCATGCCCCCCCGAGAAAATTTGAAATTTAGAACCGCGGAAATGGCATTTGCTGCGATTTCGAGGGTGGAAGGATGCCACTAAACAAAGTTTCCATACACCTCTAACAGGAGTATTTTCGCTTCGTAAAATACAAAAAATGCCATCTGGCCCAGAGAAGATCTGTGTGAGCTCAGAGAAGTGCTGTGCTAGGCAAAAATATTGCCTTCTGCACTGAGTACTGCGTATAACGTTATACCGACCGCGTATAATGTCTCGAGCACCGCGTATAATGCTAAAAGCACCTTGTATGTCTCAAACACCGCGTATATTATTACAAATAAATGTCTCAAGCACCACGTATAATGTTAAAAGCACCTCGTACAATGTTGCGTGTAGCCCATATATCTTGATATATGTCAAAATCGTCGCGTATAATGCTCGAACTCGAAGTGTAGCACCGCGTATAATGTAAAGAGCACCTCGTATAACGATAAAAGCACCACATATATAATGCTAAAAGCAACGAATGAATTGAAATTCCGCTGTGGCTTTCCATAAGGCTCGTCACGCTCGTTGAAGCCATTGTATACAAATCACAAAAGCAACATCAAATATGATATGAATAGTAATATGATGACCTACCACCGTCACAGTCGTGAATACTCGCGCAGAAAGCTTCGTCAGAAAGGTTTGAATATTAACAACCTCCGCCTTCATAAAATAGCGGGACTTCGGCATTAAAAACAACCGTTCTGGGCATGCGCTGCGCCAATTATCCAACCAGAAACCAGAATTTCTTGTATAAGATAGTATTGCGTATCCCGCCACATGAAAATCAGCGGAACACGAGACATGCGATTCACGAATAGCGTGAGTAAGCAATAAATTGCGTGGAAATTAGCTAATTCTACAGGGTATCAGTTACTAGACAACAAAGAAGTCAAAGAGCAGACAGCAATATTGCGTAAACTTTAAATAAATGACAAATGAAAGCGCTGAAAAATTACCATAATTATATTTAAATTTTCAGAATAAGCAAATTAGCAGTGGTTTTGGCTTCACTATAAAACATTTACACATTTTTTTGGAAATTGTTAGTCCCGCCCGGCGGGACAGCGGGACCGCTAACTACGCCACTGAGGGTTTGTCTCGTCTAGTTCAATGTCCGCCATTTATTTTATGGTTTTAATATATTTTCTGGAATCCAGGGATTATGCTTGCTGTCGTATCCTAACCACTTGACCAATATACCATACCTTTTCTTCTTCTCAGAATTTTCTCTACTCTGTACATATAATTTTTTTTGTCCACGACAGATAGTTCCTCTTCGTAAAACTTTCCGATAATCGGTTCTCCATCATGACTTTCTATTTCATACATGTTAGGATCTCCCCTAAATACACTTAAAACCTTGAATATCTCTTCCGTAAAGTTTGCCTCGTATCCCTTGCTAAAAATGTTTTTGTACTTCGTAATTATAACGGTATCACCAATTCTGAACTTAGGTAATGGAAATTCTCCTAATCCATAACCGTATAGTGTAATCTATACTTGGTCTTTGTTTGACTTGTTTACAACAGCGGGTCTCATTAGTATACTGCTGTGCTCAGTATGATTATAATTGTCCTTATATCACATTTGTGTCGGTTTTCTTTGATCGTCCGAGGTTTATAACTAACTAATATACCTTGAATAAATAATTACATCAAACTTTTTGACAAAACGCGAGAATTTTTCATCAAAAATTTTTGTGAAAATGACAAAATATGTTAGAAAACCTCCACAAATGTGATATAAGTTAGTTATAAACCTCGAAAGTCGGTTTATAACTGATATATTGCCCTCGGACGCTGCACGTCCTCGGGGGCAATATATCAGATATAAACCTCCTTCTCGGTTTATAACTCTAACGTAAGTTCCTCTAGGATGTCAACCCAATTGTAAATTCCTTTGCTGTAGAAATACTTGCACATCATTGTTTTCAGAGTTCTGTTAAATCTTTCGACAATAGCTGATTTTCTGTCAGAGTTTGTGGAAAAATAACGGACGTCATGTCTTCCCAAAAGGTTTTTAACAGCGACGTTGTAGAACTCCTTTCCTTCATCGAACTGAGCAACTTCTGGGTATTGCCCAAACCTTTTCTTGAATTCCTCTAATGACAAGTCCACAGCCTTTGTCATGTTTTTCGTATCTTTTCTGTAGACAGGTATATAGCAAATCCGTAACGACTTAGGATCTCAATGGCTGTTAATATCAAGTAATATCCTTATTCTGGTTTTTGTATTTTCCCATATCCATTAGATCCATCTGTATTTGGTCTGCTAATATGTTTGTATCTTGTGTAAGTGTCTTGGGTTTTCAACCAGTCCTTCACAATTCTTTTGCTAATGTTTGTATTCATATCAAAAGAGAATTTGTTATAACACCCGTTATTGATTGAAATCTTACTTTCAATGTCTTTGAAGAATGTTGTTGTTCCATTTAGGTGTTGACCTGACGTTATGGGTAACGTGGTCACTGTGGAAATTCTTGTACCGTTTATATCGAAATTTAGTGATGTATTAACAGCATCACAGCTAATAGTAATGCATATAAGACTGTGATTAACATCTGTCGTAAAGGGAGAGGTTTCCCAAACTCCGAAAGTCAAAATTTCAGTCTCTGGAAATCCTACTAGTGGCGCAAATTTGTTCAGATGTAAGTCCGCCTTTGTTGGATGAATTTTGCACGTATTGTCATACGCATTTCGTTCTAATACTATCCCATCTGTTTTTAGTTTTGCCTTTATCATGTCAAATGTCCAGTAGCGCCTTCATCAAAGGTGATCTTAACTTCTTCTGTCTATAAGTTATGCTATCTTGTTTACACCCGGACGCACGTTCTTATAGTTCCAATAAATGGTCGCATTTTTCAGAACTAACTCAGATTCGGTGCTTGTTTTAATATATCTATCAAAGAATATTTCCTTAGTTCCATTTTCAATAAACACTGTTAACTTCTTCATTTTTTATTATATAATAAATAAAATGAGTGGTGACATCTTTCGTGACTATTACGGAACGAATTACAAAAAAGTAAAGGCGGCAGCACCCGTCGAAATACGGAAGATGAAAGAAGATTTTAGGAAAAATATCCCGGCGCAGAAATGTCCAAATTTGACTTTCAGGTTGCATTTGCGAAGGACGGAACCGTGACGTGGAAGACAGAGACATCGAATTCAAAGTAACAGATTTGGAAAGCTACGACATTAAATCTAACACATTCAAAACAGATATAAAGTGGATGTGGTACCTTTACCAGTGGGGGGAAATATGGAGTAATTATGGAACCGTTCAGCCCTTCAAACATAATAGACATTCACTTCCGTACAGAATAAATAAGTTTGAAATTTATGTTTGTGACTGTACTAACACCACTCACAACAGTTTTGTCTCTAACTTTGCTGCTCTCAACAAGAAGTGGACCGGTACCGCAAAGGACATGATAAAGGTGAAGTTTGATTACGTAAGCGATCGCTATTTTTCATCACTAATGGCTGCTTACATCATCACGTACAAATGTGGAATAAGTATGGAACATCAAAGCAAAGGAACCTCAAAAGTAATAACAAGTATCGCTAGGTATCATTTATACTATCAAATGCGCAGGTTTCTTAGAAATTCAAGCAAAATGACGAAGTACATAACGAAAGATATGTTAAAGTTTTCGCAGAAAAACATACCTACGCGAAGAACGTCGACAAATTCCATCGGGGGCAGACAGAGATAGGTCTTTGGCATAGTAGGTTTCCTATACTGGGAATTGAATATCAAGAAGTAGATAGCATTATTAGCAATAGTGATACGGGCTACATCCAATTCACAGCTGAAAAATCAGACGGACTGACACCCTTAGGACTAAAACTACTTCAGCAATCTGTCGAAAGTTACGTCTATTGCGTATTAGGTGCGCAAGCACAAACACGTTGGTCTATCGTCGGTAAAGGAACGAAGTCCTTACAGACTTAGGACGTACTTCACAAACTTTTCAGAGACACCGTTGTGCAAGACGATGTATCGGTATATCCATCTCCAACATGAGAAAAGCGATAAAGGATACCAATGTCGTACTTAATATGGCGATATCACCCGGATTAATAATAATACCATCTAATACGATTATACTTAAGAAAAAAGTGGTAGGATACAACAATGTGCTTACATTAGCGACATAGGATATGGAGTTCGGCAGTAACGCAAAGGTTAACTACTCAAAGCCGAAGGCAAGTCCAGAGACGCAGTCGAAGGCAAGTCCATGCAGAGACGTGATCAACGACAAGTCCAGAGACACGGTCAACGACAAGTCCAAACCCTGTGCCGCATCTTGACCGCAGGGATCAAGGTCCACCGAACAATCTAGTCTACCTTCTAGGCGTTATGTTCGTTGGTGGATTCATGGCTTCAAAATAATACTTGTTTAAAGATTTAATAACACCCCTTTAAAAATGAAAAGTGTTATTAAATTCAATCATATCTCTAAGAATCTGTCACCAGAGAGAAGAACAAATTTTAAGAATTCAAATACCAGTACCACAAGTTGGCTAAGTGCTACAAGATGAAATACAAAGCAATAAAACGTACGCTACTAGCGCTAAGCGCTCTCATCTATATCAGTGTTCAGTCTCTTACATATTTGGTAAGTTAGGATGTCGAGGTTAGAAAGCGATACCTTCCTTTTAGGTTTGGGTTTGAATCTTCTCGGTCCATGTATTAGAATAATTCTCTCTTCACAATACGGTTGAGCAGCTCTTATATGAACTCCCTCTCCGGCCAACTTCGTAAAGCTTCCACGCCCGGTTGATGTTCCCTGCGACCGAAGTATCCCTTTTCCGCTTGCTTGAAAAGATCCATGTTTTATTATGTAGGCTACCTTGAGATAACTTTAAGTAAATTTTGAGATAACTTTAAATAAACTTTGAGTAGTCCTGAGATAAACTTAAAACTACTTAAGATTATCTTGAAACTATCTCAGGAAAATTTTGAGATAACCTTAAGTAAAGTTTGAGTAAAAAAGAAATATATTAAATAAGAGAAGAGTGAGTAAAGCGCTACACATCCCTCAACATAAAACAGTTTCAGGACAAAGAACTTTTATTACAGAGCGGTGAAGTTATGGAATGACTTGGGTGAAGACCTTAAAAAGTTACCTTGGAAAATTTTAAAACTGAGTTAAAGCAGAAGATGGTAAACAACAATTAATTACATTTTCTGATATTATATAGATTTAATGGATTTTAAATAAATGATAAATATGTAATTATACTTCGTACCTCATAATAATAATAATAATAATAATAATAATAATAATAATAATAATAATAATAATAATAATAATAATAATAATAATAATAATAATAATAATAATAATAATAATAATAATAATAATAATAATAATAATAATAATAATAATAAAAGTCTTTATTTCTCTACTCAAATCAAACGTCTGAGTTTACATATTAAGAATAAAAAATTTGATTCTTACTGTTATTTACATCAATTTTTAGTACTTTAAAATTCTAAGGTATAAGAATATAGATATATAGTTTATATAAAATTGAAAAGACATTTATTTATAAACGCGTTTTTGAACCTCTCAGTTTTAACAATTGGTAGTTCAAAGTCATGACCTCTCCGTCGTAAAGGTCGATTTAAATTACTAGGTAAAAGATTGCGTAAGGCATTCTTATCATCATTTATAATTCTTGACCATAATTTCTTGTCTCTGTTCGATATTGTTGCTTTAAAATCTGATCTGTTGCTTGTATAACCATTTCTATAGGCACGATTGACAAACTTATCAATTTGACTTACGTATTTGTTGTACGATGCTCCACCCCAAACTTCGACTGCAAAGGTGAAAAGAGAGACTATAAGACTATTGAAGAGAAGATCCAATTGATGTGTAGAGAGCCCGTAGTGTTTACAAACCCTTAGAATATCCATTCTTCTGCTAGCTTTTTTCATCATCTCTTCGAAATGTTTATCCCATTTACCAGGTATGTCTTCCATCGTGACACTCAATAATTTGAGCCATTCTTTCCGTTTTATGGATGGGATGTGATCCGGAAGGGGAGTAGACACTTTTCCGCGAACTATCATTTCATAGGTTTTCTCCATGTTTAAAGACATTCTATTCTCGTTTGACCATAGCTTCATATTTTCTACTTCATCCCCAGCCGAATCTTCGTAATCATAAACTGGTGCTATTATTGCAATATCATCAGCAAATTTGGATAAATCATTGGAGAGACTCACCGCCTTGATATCATAGACAAATAGATTTTAAATAAACGCTATAAATAGGAATTTTATAATATAACTATTCGTTCTGCAAATAGGTATTGAAAAACCTTCTCCGGGAATACTTCATTGAATAATAATAATAACAATAAAATCTATACGATGAAGCAAAAAGACTAACGACACTTCTAACGACACCTGTAACGACAACACAAGCGTCAGGAAATTCTACAATAACAAATTCGCACTGGTGGTTGATCTGAGAGCTGTTGATGACAGTACTACCTTTGGAAGTGGAAAAAAGCTTCTCGGCGCCAATCCTGGAGTTCTTCTGGAGATTGAAACCGACGAAATGTCTGAAGATATTTTCTGTAACTTTTTCGTGTTATCCAATGGATTAATAAACATCAGTGAGAAAACCCTTCAGGGTATTGAATACTAAATAATAAAAGATAAAACCCTTGAAAACACCATTCAACATGATCATTCTTGGAATGACCGGATGTGGGAAAACATATTACTTACTAAAAATGTTGGAAAATGATTATAAAAAACATTTTGATCATATAAATTCCCAATATTTCCTACATACGAATGGAACAAAACATATCAGGGCTGGAAATACAATAAGGACAAAGACTTTGTAGCAATGCCTTGCAAACAGGATGATGTGGATCTATGCTTAAAACATGTTTCCTGGTTCGCAGAAGGAACAAACAGCCTAATCGTTCTCGACGACTGTGCGAGCAGTCAATCTGTTAAGAACAGAACTAGCGAATTGGTAAAACTCGGGTTCAGCGCCGGATACATGGGAATCTCAACCATCGTCATCACCCAACAACTTTGCGAAAATTCAACATCCATTGCGAAACCTTACAGAGAAAATATATCTAAAGTCGTAACCTTTTACAATCCAAGTACAAAAGACACAAACATCATATTAGACGACTACTTAGCCAATGTAGAAAAAGAAGAAAGAAAGAAGATCATGAATACGCTAAAAATAATGACTAGGTTAGAAATACTATTACGCTGTCCTTATACCCACAAGATAATTATTCCGCATATGAAATAAAGGATTGGATAACCTATTCGAATCTACGGAACCTGTGGAAAAAGTGACGCATCGTCCGCGGCACCGCCAGGAGCAGGGGAAGAGCTACTAGTTTAGTTTAGTTTAATGAATTTGTCACATTTACATAGAAAAATTTTACAATTACAACTGACACTAGAACAATAGAAACTAACAAAATAATTAGTACTTGTGACAGGAGTCTGAAACAGAACTTGCGTACGCAGGTAAAATTAACTACATCGCAAAATATATCAAAAAAGCATCCGAAAAAACACTAGAAAGTATATACAAAGACTACGAAAAGCTGCAACTGGAGAACACAAACAACCAACTAACCGACATCCTCATCGCCAAATTTTCCGAACTTATGGGGGCGTTGGAAGCTGTCAAAGATACCGAAGTGTTTGAAAAAGAACTCGCGGAAAACAAGCTGCTCAGAAAAGACCTAAAAAAACTTGTTGGTTACGTAACACCATATATCCCGTCCATCGGAATACCAACTGGTGGAATTACCGTCTGAAAACACGTGATCAGTACTAAAGTAAACTGTGAATAAATTGACATTTTTAAGAATATTTTAGCAAAATGAATATTAGTAAGATTACGGATGTCGGATTCAGTAAAGCAAAATGTTAAGCAGAACGTCACTAAGATCAACAGTTGCTCTCTCAATGTTAGCATTTTATTTTTAACTAAAATATTTAAGATCATGCTTCATGTGCTTACACCAAAAATCCTTGGTTATTCCCGAACGTGAATCCCTTTTATACCCTGACGATGACGATAGTAAAGATACCGAACCTCGGAATCCTTTCCCATTCATCCCTTCCCAAACCTGATCCTGTGCTTAGCCTGTCTACCGGTAATGAAATTTTCGGTTGATACGATCAGGACCGTATCCGAATAACCGGTCCCCTCGCATAACTTCGAAATCTGCTCCATTTTTTCCGGACAATTAAAGTAAAGATGGACTTTGTCGGTAATCCTTTGGAATCTCATGGTTTTTTATTTACCTTAGGAAAACTTTGTTTTTAAATTTTAATGTAAGAAATGCATTAAATTTACACCATAAGACCATCAACATTTCCGACATCTCACCAATCTGACCGTACATGGCTTCCCTTATCTCCATCTCAGCCTCCGCGCGCCTCTCCTCTTCATCTAACTCCATCAACCACTCCATCTTAGCCTCCGCACACTTCTCCTCTTCCTCCATCTCCCTCTCCTCTTCCTTTTCCTCCTCCGCGCGCCTCTCCTCTTCCTCTTCCCTTTCCTCCTCCATCAGTATCCAGGGTCTAACATCCCAACCGATTTCGAAATCCGTAGGTCTTCCCAAATGGATCCGATTCGTCGGGCATTCCAACCAGCAGCCGATTACCTCAACACAATCGCTAACGGTCGTGAAGATAATAATACCTTTCGGACCTCCGTAAATGTAACCCACCAGCTGAATCTCCGCGACCTTTCCCATCCATCCCTTTCCGAACCTAATCCTGTGCTTAGTCTGTCTACCGGTGAAAGGATTTTTGGTCGAAACAATTAGTGTCATGTCCTCATAAGTAGTTTCCTTACACATTCTCGCAATCCGATCCATCTTCTCCGGACGTCAGTTGAAGTATAATTGGACTTTGGTATTCGATCTTAATTATGAAACTCGTCATGATTGTTTTTATTTACCCACCTTCGGCGGACGATGATAAAAAGAATAATAATGACGGACGGGATGGGCACCATGGCGATCAGGCAACAGGATTTGGGGAGCGGGGCGGGTAGAAGGGTGACAGCTGACGCACGCGCGGAAATGATTGAAACAACTTTGCGGAGGTGCGCAAAAGGGGTGTGCAGAAGTGGCATTTTGGTGGTTTTGTACAGGTGGGAGAGGGAAGGTTGAAGGTTTGTCACCAAATGGTGCCAGAACCGGCCCTTCCCTACTACACTTCTATAATGTTTTTCACCTATAGGGAAAACTGACCTAATTAATTTGTTTCCAAACGAGCGAAGTGCAGTTTTAGTCGCTACTTCAAAGACAAAGTAGAATGCAGAAAATCATAAATACTTCTACCAAAGCATTACAAAAGCATACTAACTCACAATCAAGCGTTAGAAAGTCCGTTAATTTACAATACAACTGACGATTCATCCAAGCGTGCTCATGCCAGTCTCCTTCGGCATCACACATGGAACAGCGCTGGATAAATGCGTTTCCCCGCCCGTGTTATATAAATTAGAAGAGCGCAAATTAAAATTGCGCTCTTCTACCATCAAAGCTATAATATGTGGTCCTCACGTACAAACAACAAAAGATGCATGACTCGAAAATTATCAGACACACGAATATCAAGGAATATGGTGTCCCTCAAGGAACCAAGCTGGGTCCGTGGTTATTTATATTGATGATAAACGATCTAAAAACACGTTGTTTAGACCATAGAGATTATAAATAACACTAGAGGAGGCATTGTAATCTTAATTCAGTAAAAAAAAGGGAACGCGACTATTGGGGGGCAAAATCAAGTCCCGGATGTGTATTCGTGTTCCCATTGGTGACGAGTTTCAAATCAGCCAATGAGAGCACGATTTTATATCCGGGACTTAAATTTGCCCCCCATTAGCTGCGTTCCCAATTTTTAAACTCAATGCCTCCTCTAGTGTTATTTATAATCTCTATGGTTTAGACGAGGTAAAATTCGTAGACGATCTAACGGTATATGAAACAGTAACCAGATTTGGTTCAAGTGATATCCAACATGCAGTGTCCGAAATTGAAGAGTGGTCCGAGTCAAACCTTTTCAGATTGAATGAAAACAAATGCAAAGAATTGCGGATAGACTTTGCGAAAAATAGAAATCCCTTTCCTCCTATTAAAATTAATGGTAAACCTTTACAAGTGGTGGAAGAAGCAAAATTACTGGGTCTTACTATCGCGAACAATTTGAAGTGGAATAGTCATGTCAATAACATAGTGACAAAAAGTTCCAAAAGGATTTACCTTTTAGTGCAGCTGAAACGAGCAAAAGTCGCGATTCAAGATGTTTTACAATTCTATACCGTATGTATCCGCCCCATTCTGGAATACGCTTCCACTGTTTTCCACTACTCTTTACCTAAATACTTGAGTGATGAAATTGAACGAGTACAAAAACGAGTTCTTCGAATTGTATATCCGAACTTTCATTACGAAGATGCATTGATGGTAGCTGGGATGGAGTCATTGTACGCTAGAAGGCAAATTGCCTGCAATAAACTTTTTAATCAAATTTTAAATAACCCGAACCATAAACTTCATAATTTAATCCCTAAAATAGATACTTCATTAAATTACCAATTACGAAACAACAAGAATATACATGTTCCGAAATTCTATACTGAACGTTTTAAGAATTAGTATGTCATCGCTAGTTGTTTAGACATAAATAATCGTAATTCAACAAATTAGTGTTAGTTTTAATATTTATAATCTTCTTAGTAAGCCATGGCATAGGTTGTAATTTTTTAAATGTAATATAATTTGTATTCAGTCTTATTTATATTGTAATCGCTTACCAATTCAGTATTTGTACTGCAAAAAGTGAATTATTAAACAATCTATCTATCTATCTATCTATCTATCATATGTGAAGATCGAAACTTGCAGAGAGGCAGGTGGTTTGTTTTGGGAGATATTTTCCCATCTTTTCTTGGTCAAGATCACAAATGTTGTTCAGTCGTTAATTTAATATTTTAAAATAGTTTTAACATGTTTTACCATGTAGTAACCTTGTTTGTTGGTGCTGCTTGAATTTTCAAAAGGTAAGTTACTTTTGCATGCATGCATGCATGCATGCATGACTGCCTGGTGCTGAGTTTATAGTTATTGAGTAGATAAGTGTGTTGTTAAAACATGCATACTTGAAATTTCTAATAAAATTCATTCATCACTTGTCTCTCTTGGATGAGAGACGTCAATACTTTTGTTCAAATATATCGGCACAAAGTCCAAGCAAGTTCAGTTCAATGCAACTGGTTGGCCTTACGTAATTTGTGAAGAACATTTTTCTATTAAAGGAACACATTCAAATTGAGGTAGGATAAAATTTCAAGCCTTTTTAATTGTAGATATTATACTATACTAGAAATTTAGATGCCTATATATTACTATACTAGAAATTTAGATGCCTATAATTAAATCATTTATAACCATCTGGTCTATATATTGTACGTTTGAATCAACCTCGCGTAAGCAGTAATAATTTGTTGTTGTTCTGATCGTTATAGCCCGGCATTAGACACAATCGGTCTGACTTGCATTAAATCTTATATTATACAAATAAAGCCTCAGTTCCCGCTGAAACATATAAGCCATGGTCATTATTTGTGGAAATAACCAATGCGATCGCTTATTTTTTGCACACCTAGTCGGCTTACCTTTATTTTCTTTTATTTAAAGCTAAAAACTGTTTTCTAACCGTTCTTATAGGTATAACTCACGGTCTCACATCAAACTTAGGTATATTTACACAATTTGGTTCTTTTTGTTAACTATGAGATCCATTTCCTCAATTTCTTTAATTTAAGTAAGTTCACCTTTACAAATAACTAGCTATATCGGGTGGATAGCGCTATCCGACCTTCGTACTATACGCGGGACCACAGCAAATTAAAACTGCGCTCTCTTGCATCGAAGCTATAGCGGCCATCACAAACAGCAAAATTGTAATGTGTAATTCGTAAGTAACACGTACGTGAAGAACAAAATGCGCAGAGGCATGCAGGTGTAATGTTTTGGGTGAGATTTCCCAATGCATCCTATCTTTCCTTACTAAGAGAAAATAATTAAAATTGTTTCACTATATGTATAGTAACCTCATTTCCTCATGCCACTTGAACTTGAATCTTTCGTATTTTTGCTTTTGCATGGGCGGTCAGGCGTTGAATTTGGTTATTGAGTACCAGATATAAGTGTACTGCATGTAAATTGACATATTCCAAATTTGTAATAAAGTTCACTCATCACTTGTCCCTCTTGGATGAGGGACGTCATTAATGTTCAATAGTTTTGTTCAAAATTATCGGCGCGCCGTCCAAGCAAGTATCATACAATGCCACCGGCCTTTTATAAGTTGTGAAGGACATTTTATCTATTATTAAGGATCACATTCAAATTAAAGCGGTAGGATAAAATTTCAATCCAATTTTAATTGTAGAGAAATATAATAATTGAAATTTAGATGCTTTTATTTTATATTTAGTTAACAAATATAAAACATTTTCCATGTTGATATACAGATATAACAACACGAGTGGAAATCGAGTTTTCTCGATTTCCACGAGTGTTGAGATATAACTGTATATCAATACGGAAAAATGTTTTTTGGTTTATTTTATAACATAGCACAAAGAAATATAAAGAAAGAAATTTTCCATGTTGACATTGAGTTTTGTCAACACGGCTCTTAGCCAATCAGCGTTCAGAATTTAGAAATGTTTTATTATAAACTGAAATAATTTAGCTTTCTAACCACCTGCTCTATATATTGTACGTTTGAAGCAGCGTTGTGTAAACAGTATGTTGTAGTTGTTTAGCGAATTTGTCTTTCAACACTTAGCGAATTTGTCTTTCAACACTGTGACGATATATATATATATATAATAGCAATCTGGACCAGATTTATTATCGTTAATGCACGCTTTCTATCGCTATAGTATACTCATGCGGACTTGAAAATAACTGCTTTGACACTACGTATAGTTGCCATGGTAACCAACTCAAAATGTGATGGTATACATTATTGTAAATCGCTTTTAGTTTTTAAAAGAGAATGTGAAACTTTTATAAAGCTTATATTAAATTTCGACTCGCTGAATCGAATGCATGGTGGTATTTTTGTCTTCATAGCATGCACCGAACTGAGGGTATGAACATTTCAAACTCATAAATCACCAGTGATCTACCTAATACGGCACATAATTGTCGAGAGTTTAAAAAATACCGTTTTCAAAAAAAATATTGTTGATTATTTTCTGTCGAGCCACCTGCTTCTAAAACCGTTGTAAAACGTGTTCAAAACTTTACAGTCTTCGAATGATAAAGGCAATGTTTTTATTTACTTTAATCAGATTAGCGGGCGAAAGCTATGACACAAACTAATGCATGTTCTGGAATTATTTATATTTTGCAGGAAAATGGAGTCAATCCATGGTTACTCTTATAAAAAAAATTGCACACCATCTGGAACTGCACTGGCGTTAGCAGTTATGACAGCCAGTATTTCCTTTATCCTGTTTCTTTTAAGTATCGTTGGGAATATCCTCATTATTCTTGCTGTTGTGCTAGATCCGAACAAAAATCTTCGAACACCGTTCAATTGGTTAATTGTAAATTTAGCAGTGGCTGATCTTATTACTGGAATCATCACAGACCCTGTCTCGGCGAGTCTTCATTTAAAACTATACTTTGAAAAGAAATACACTGATGGTGAAGTGAAAGCACTACATATGAGTTACTTCGTCTCATGTACGGCTTCAGCTCTAAGTATTTCAAGTTTGGCTGTTGAGAGATACCTCGCAGTAAGAAAGCCTAACACATATCGTACTCGAATGACTAATAAAAGAATCGTATTCACTGTCGCTGCAATTTGGTTGATCTCTTTGACTTTACCAAATATATATTTTAAAGTTGGATACACTCTATATTCATTCGTATTCGCTAACGCATCGGTCTTTTTGGCTATTTCAATAACGTGTTTCACATACATCTTAATGTGGCGAAAAATCAAACGACGATCTGAGACAGTAGTCAATCATGACGGCAGAGCCATGGTTAATTCGCTTTCTTCACCAGAGCCTCAAGGCCCATCAACTGCACCAAACAATCCAACTACATCCAACCCAATCATCACGAACACAAATAAAATGGAAGAGAAAGTCACCAAAATGTTCCTTGTGGTCCTCATAGCCATGTTCTGTTGCTATGGTCCGGCAACAATGTTCATCTATCTCATGAACTTCTGTGAATCGTGCGGTTGTGTCGCTCTACATTGGTTTTATGATTTGGCATTCATTTTAATCGTAATTAATTCCAGCTTAAACTTTTGCTGTTATGCAATGCAGTCTTCCAGATTCCGACGCGCGTTTATCAAAATCTTGAAGATAAAGAAGAAAAATCATCAACACCACGAAACGATACCCAAGAATGAGAATAATGGCCCAGGTGGCTGCGAAAGTATGGCTGCGCAAAGAGAAGACATCGATGTACAAATGCAAGAAGTTGCTGAAAACACAGATACCGGAATATAATAGGATACCACAATTAGAAAGACATAAGTTGTTTGAAAACTTATCGTACATGATATCATATAATTATATAAAGAAACAGACACTGTTTATCAATTTGGCTTGACGTCTATATACTGAATCGAGATCAAGTTTGGACTAAGTCTTAGACAAAGTGTTAAAGTAAGTCTGTTAGTTTCTTCGGAACCATAAAAGCCTTAGCATTTATTAACACAACCATATTACTAAAACAACGCGGTCATTGAGTAAGGTCATTTCCACTGACCAATTAACTACGATCATGAGCTTCAGACGAACGTTTTCACCCCCCTGGTTTTGGCAGAAATATTCGCAGTTTCTTAGCTAAAAACATTGATATTTTTCATATACTTCATAAGTTGTATATAGCTGTTAAGAATTGTTGTTCCACCTACCTCATGTGGTCCTGGGAATATATATTTATCGGTTAAAATATATTTAATTAATTATGAAAGCCAACCACCATCTCAAGAACAAACAAATGTAGTCTATCGCATAAATTGCGCCGATTGTTCGTGGAGCTACATTGGTGAGACGGATCGAGCGTTGATCACACGCAAAAAAGAACACATAAAGAATGTCAAGAAATGTAAAGGGGGCTCAAACATTGCGAATCATGCTTGGTGTTATGACCATAAATTGATTTCAACAATAGCAAGATAATTGACAAGATACCGCCACAGATCTACACTGGAATCCTGGCACACCGCGCTCACAGCTAATGCTGACAATAATTCTAAACATCTAACAGAACAATACCGTTTATTATTCAATGAAGTATTCCCGGAGAGGGTTTTTCAATACCTATATATTTACAGTACGAATATAGTTATATTAAAATTAAAATTCCTATTTATAGCGTTTATTTAAAATCTATTTATCTATGAGATCAGAAGAATAATTATTTATCATTTATTTAAAATCTATTAAGTCTATAATATCAGGAAATGTAATTAATTGTTGTTTAGCATCTTCTGCTTTTACTCAGTTTTAAATCTTTTCCAAGGTAACTTTTTTAGATCTTCATCCAAGTCATTCCATAACTTTACCGCTCTGTAATAAAAGGTTCTTTGTCCTGAAACTATTTTGCGTTAAGGGATGTGTAGCACTTTATTATTCCTTTTATTTAGATCGTGAATTTCATTTCTTTTTATAAATAATTTGGATAGATAAGGTGGTGCTAACCCGTTCATACATTTGTATGTTATTAGTGTCTCTCTATTTTTTAAGTGTTCCTCTACAGGAAGCCAGCGAATTGCCCGTAGTGCTGGTGTTACATGATCATATCTTCCAGTATTTGTCAATATCCTACAAGCAAAATTCTGTACTGCTCTCAATTTCTTTATATTTGTTGCAGAAGTGTTTGACCATACTGTAGAGCAATAATAAAGTTTGCTCATTACTAAAGCATTGATAATTAAGGGAAGAGTATCTCTGTCAAAGCTATCCTTAATTTACTCTATTTACCTGACACAGCTTGGCCATACACGATACAACATTTTTGATATGGTAGTCGTATGTCAGATAACTGTCTAGGGTTAATCCCAGGTCTTTGGCATTTGTGATTGGTGTAATTTCTTCACCAAGAAATGTAATTCTCGTCTCCTCAAGCAGCTTACCGAGCAGTTGACGAGTTCCTATCAAGAGAAACTTTGTCTTCTCGGGGTTTATCAACAGTTTATTTTCGAAAAACCAAGTTGCGACCAATTTGAGTTCCTCTTCTATCTTTGTTTTTGCACTAGCGATATCTTCAATTGGAAATGACATAAAGATCTTAGAATCGTCAACGAATGATTCCAACTCAGATGCTTGTGGTACTCTTGAGAGGTCGTTTATATAGATGCAGAACAATAGCGGTGACAATATTGCTCCCTGAGGCACTCTGTGAGTAATTGGTACTGCTTGGTACTACTGCGAACGAACTGCTTTCTATCTGAAATGTAGCTTTCAAACCAATTAAGGGCTTCACCTGAAACCCCAATATTGCTTAGTTTCTTTAACAGGATTGAATGGTCCACGCTGTCAAACGCTTTTGAGAGGTCCAAAAGGACTAGAGCAGTAAGCTTTTTGTTGTCCATCGATTTTAGCAAAAAATCATTGACTAATATACTGAGTGTTTCGGTTGAATGATACTTTTTGTTTCCACTTTGTTGGGTCAGTGCGGTTAAGAAAACCGCTAAATTGATTTAGAGCAACTTTTTCGCAGATCTTTGATAGTACTTTAAACATTCAGGAAAGTGGGCGATTATTTGCAGCAACTTCATGGTCACCTTCCTTTAAGAGTGGTATAATTTCTGCTATTTTCCAGGACTCAGGGAACGCCGAGGTGGTAAATGAGTTATTAATGATGTCTGTCAATGGGCCGAGTATGACTGGAAGACAATCCTTAATAATCCGCATGCTGATTTTGTCTGGTCCTGGAGATTTGTTCGACGGCATTGTTGTTATTATACGTTGCACCTCTGCATGTGACGGGAGTGAACTTGATCAATTCCGTAGAGAAGAGTTCAGATCTCCTATTCTGAGGCTCCAACTCAGTTGAAATATTTAGATTATTTTGTAGGACTAACATTTTAGCTGTTTCGGCAGCTCTTTTCCCACAGATTAAAAGAACTGGTTGAAATCGTTGGCCACCTCTAATGTAGTTTTGTGGTAAGTCAATATTCTTTTATCTTTAGATGGAATGCACCTATTAATCACTTTCCACAACGATCTAAAATTAACTTTATGGAGGTTTACTTCAGTTCGAACGTGTCGTTTTTCAGCAGCTTATTACAATTAAATAGAACAATTATTATTTATTAAATAGATTATTAGATAGATTATTAAAGATTAGATTATTAGATAGGTTATTAAATAGAACAATTATTAGAGTTCATTACTGTTCATAGAATAATATATAGGCGGAACTATCACTTCCAGTTATACTAGTTATATTTGTTTGTCACTATATTTGTTAACTGTAGGCGCCGCAGCGTAGGCGTATACTCTGTAATTGTAAACCGTAGTCGTCTGTAATCATTGTATTTTATAACTACGCGTTGGCCGTTGAAAGCTGGCAGCCGAAAGCTCGTGATAAATAAATACTTCTAACCAGAGAAATTTTGTGTTTAACCATCGTTCTTCATTCCATGGCCATTTTTCCATAATTTAGCTACATCTTAATTTTTAATCGGTGTCACTCAAATATTTTTTTCTATATGTTTTGCATGAGGTTATGCAATAACCAAGGTTAGCAACTTGGTAACCAGGTCTCCTGACGTCAGCACGTCACATGATCGGGGGGATGGCGCAATGGGATTAGGTGACATCTACATTCGAGGTCTAACGTTCAAACGACGTCCAACAACGTGCGTTTTGAATTTTTGTGTTCGTCTTGCGGGTTTGTGCGCACGATTTAATGTTGTCTGTAAGAATTGGCTATGGCGTCTGGTCAGAGTTCTGTAGCTGAGTCAACACCGAATGGAAGAGAAACCAATACACCTAGTCCGCCAATACCGTGGGCTGCTGCTTTCAAATCACCGGAGTTTGCAACGGGACTTCAAGCGGCAATTACTCAAGCTTTGCACCAGTCAAGCGCACCGATCGACCAGAGCGCAGGCTTGAAAGAACTGGGGAATCCTGCGAACACGTTTCGGACTACTACGCGGACGGTCTATCAGCTAAAGACTCAGGTAGGAGGCTCACACTCGGCAGAACACAGGTATGTTGAATGCTCCATTGTTTGGTCGCAACTAGTGAAATAGATGGCGCAGAAGCCTACGCCGTTCCGTCTGTAAATCTCGGGCAAACTCGACCCAATGAAATATCGGAAAAATCACGAACTTGCAAGATAATTGTGTTCATCTGCGCTTTGTTTCTAACTCGAGCCACGAAAACGCTTTGTCCTTGGCCGTGGCAGAGCTTCAATTCCAGGAAAACTGGTTAAACGTTTGTGCCAGGTTCATGTGCGCACTAGGACCCAAGGAAAAGCGGTATAAATCAGTTTTTGGATTATTTAGCCATATATATATATATATATATATATATATATATATATATATATATATATATATATATATATATATATATATATATATATATATATATATATGGATATATCGTACGTTTCATGTATATAATAATGAGGAGTCCTACATCTATATTTTCTTGTCAGTACAACATGCACGACGAGTGTGTTGTGAAGAACTGCGAGTTGCTGACCTAGTTGCTGTTCAGCCTTCTCCCCTTTAATAGTAGCCATCCGAGAGACAAATTACGCAATTCAGAAACGGACTTGTTATACTGAGACGGCAAATATGTTTCGAAACACTTTCATAAATGCCGTGGCAGCAGGCATATGAGCTGCTCATACAATAGTTCCTCAGAACGGAGCACAATTCTTTTGTACATGTTGTAATAATCTTTGTGGTTTCATATAGTTAGTATTTTTAAAATATGTTTCTCCGCTATAGCCTGGCCCCAACAGTCAACATTGTAAATATCATCCTGACATATTGGTACACTTTTACTTTAATGTATAACAGAAAATTAACTAATAACTTGCCTTGGTTTTACACTGCGTTTAATTAAGCCACTGAACCTGGATTGATGACATCTTATAGCGGCAATTAATAATGCGATTAGCCTTGCTCACTTCCTGAAGTTGCAAACTCAGTTTGCAGATCCCGCTACTGTTTTTCAAAACGTCAAACGGTCGTCATGTAAGTTAGGTGAAACTCCGCAGGCGGCCGTTTTCCGGGCGGTCTGGTTTGTCAGAACGCTTAGTTACAGCGGTATCAGATAACTTTCCTATTTACCATATTGGCTGGTAATGACTTCCGGAATTAATGTGCCTTACTATATGCTCGTCTTACCATGTCGGCTGGTAATGACTGCCGGAATTAACGTGCCTTACTATCCTTGTCTTACCATATCGGCTGGTAATGACTTCCGGAATTAATGTGCCGCCTTATTATGCTTGTCTTACCGTATCGGCTGGTAATGACTTCCGGAATTAATGTGCCTTAAAATGCTTGTCTTACCATATCGGTTGGTAACGACATCCGGAATTTAATATGCCTTATTATGCTTGTCTTACCATATCGGCTGGTAATGACGTCCAGAATTAATGTGCCTTACTATGTTTGTCTTACCACATCGGCTGGTAATGACTTCTGGAATCAATGTGCTTTATTATTCTTGTCTTACCATATCGGCTAGTAACGACATCCGGAATTTAATGTGCCTTATCAGTATGCATATCGGCTGGTAATGACTTCCGGAATTAATGTGCCTTACTATGCTCGTCTTACCATATTGGCTGGTGATGACTTCCGGAATTAATGTGTTTTACTATGCTCGTCTTACCATATCGGCGGTAATGACTGCCGGAATTAATGTGCCTTACTATGCTCGTCTTACCATATTAACGTGCCTTACTATGCTTGTCGTACCATATATATCGGCTGGTAACGACATCCAGAATTTAATGTGCCTTATTATGCTTGTCTTATCATATCGGCTTGTAATGACGTCCAGAATTACTGATGTGCCTTACTATGCTTGTCGTACCATATCGGCTGGTAATGACTTCTGGAGTTAATGTGCCTTAGCTTATTATGCTTGTCTTACCATATCGGCTGGTAACGACATCCAGAATTATGTGCCTTACTAGAAATACATGGATGCAACAACCCCTCGCCTATATTTTCCAAACATTGTTTCAACATGAAGTATTTGTAATTACGCCAACACTGAACGCAGGCTCGCGTCGTCACATGACGTCATGTCAGTCATGACAACACGATAACTGTTTTTTTAATTTTTTGTACAAACCTGCAAAAAATAGGTGAAATTTGAACACTTTTAAATGCAGAACTATCAATTTCTAAAATATATAAAGTAGGTATATTATTTTGGTTTCTATGGGCTTTATCAGTTAAAACGAAACTCTACGTAAAACGTTTTTAAATGTGAATTGAAATTAACTGCTTTTTGCCGATATTTATAAACTCCTCAACTCGAGCTTCAACTTATTACTCGCACTCTGAAATGAAATAAATTTAATTCGTAAAGGACGCTAATGAAAATAATTTGCTTTCCTTTTCATCATGAACTTCTACAAAAGTTAATTTAATTTAACTAAGAAACTTTCGCAAACAATGCATGGGAAACACTTGACTGAACATCAAGAACAAAGTCTATATTAATACAAAGTCATACATAAACAATTGAAACAAACTTGCACTATATTTTAGGATTTCTCATACTATATCATTAATTTTTATAAATATTTACGTTTAAAAATTGCAAAAAAAGTTTTACAATTTGTTATGTGAAACGATTTTGCAAGCTTTATTACATGTATTTTTTTATATTTTTTACATTCTTCACCTCTAGCAAACAGTCATATTTTGAGATCAATGAGATGACCACCACCGAAACACGCACAGTGACCCACGCCCGCGATCATTGATGAACTTTAGACTTCGCTAAAACAGAGGGAACTTTCGTCGACGCTGCATAAAAATAGTGCGGACTCGTGAGCTTCTTCCCGCAAATTTTGCTTTTCGATGTTTAATTTGGCGTACAATTTCTAAGGAAGTTGAAGTTTACAGCATTGTGATTTACTGGTTTTTGAAAGCATCTGGGTTTTTTGTTGTTGGAAGCTCTAGGCTAACTCGTCAACAGCCTAATGGTTGTTTTTAAAGCAAAGCAATTGAAAGGAAAACTTATATTTTCATACGAAGAAGATGAGTGGCGATATTTATGTTGGACTGTTCTGAGCAGATGCTTCGAAGAACATGATATGATCGGACCTTGTATCTTAAAACTGTACTTGGAACAGCCGAACAAAGTGGTAAATGTTGTTAAATATCCTGAATTAGTGAATACTTCGTCGAATTCTCTACCGCCATGTGACCTGTAGTTTTTAAACTACATTAAAATGTGGCACGCGTCTTTGAAAGGGCTTTACTTGGCTTTAATCGACGTGTAAGGTATAGCTTAGGTAAGCCAACATTTCTTTGTAATGCAAGCTACATTTTCATATCTTTAATGCGTGAATATTTTTAATTTTGTAAAAAATTTAGTGCAATATGTTGTTCGAGAAAGTATCGAGTGCTTCATAATAACGCTCAGATCTTGTATACAGATATTCGTATTTTATTCAAAATCTACCCTTTATCACCGTTTTTTTTACTCTTTTATGTTAAAGTATACATAATCCTTGACTTGATAACACGATGATCTACTCGATAAAAATTGAGCAGAGGGGCGATCTTTGCAGAGAAACTTGACCGTTCGGTGAAATCGGTATTTGTTGGCCGATTTCAAGTTTATATTGTAGAACGGGTTCCTAGTGAATTAAATTAATTGTCTATATTCTAAACAGTAGTAATAAGCGCGACTCCTTTTTGTTGATGGATGTTGAACTCATTTTAGACTTTTGTTCATATACAACAAGTACACTACCGAGTACTGAGTCACTGTTTGGAAAGAAATTAGCCTATATCGAACACCACCATAATTCAAGCTTATTTTTAAAGTCAAATAGTTTCTCCATGGATAAAGGTAGTTTTTATGGAGTCAAAAATAGGGCAAGTATGAATTTAAAGAATGTCAAGTTGCACTTGTATATCTTACTTCGAAAGATCGAGATATACATATAAAACAGGTATATATATATATATATATATATATATATATATATATATATATATATATATATATATATATATATATATATATATATATATATATATATGTACGGCGAAATTAAACTGCTGCAACAAAGATTTTATTTCTACTTTCACGTTCTTATTCCAAGCAAACACTACTAAGTTGGAAATGCCTAAAATTGTGAGCGTATAGAAACACTAAAGAAACAAGAAAACGACTTGATAACACGAGTAGTTTTGGCAAATTTGGCGTTTGTTTTTAGAATTCGGTCACGCGATTAACCCGCGCTCACGTGCTCTCCACGCTTACGTTTTTCGCGCATGCGTAGATGAAAGTCCCCTCTGTTCTTCGCTAATGCTTTCGTTTCCCCGGGTGCAAATGGATAAACAAAATTCTCGGGGATAAACAAAACATATACGGCAACCTCGTTCCCAGGGTCTCTCCTGGGTACGAGGTTGCATATACGGTTGCGAGAAGATAAATATGTTATTTACCGGCTGGGAGGTCCGGATAGAAAAATATTTTGTCGAAGTCTCAAAAACGTTTTTGAGACCGAGACAAAATATTTTTCTATCCGGACCGACCTAAACGGTAAATAATGTATTTATTTTTTTGTCGAAGACTAAGAGGCAAATGGCAACGGTTTTATTAGATTGCGCATATAGAAAACAAAACAATAAAAAAATTTTGATATTTAATTATTTTACTTTAGAAAACAAACAATTCAATTAAAATACAGTACAACTATTTTATCCATCATTAAAATTATTTCAAAATTACATATTCATATTTTTCAGTTTTAAAACAAACATACGAAAAATTTTTGCTTTGCTTCGGCCATTACGTATAGGATTCCGGACCGTGGTCAAATATCGTAAAATTCCGCCCGCTGCTGCAGCCAATCAGATTGCAGAAAACGCTAGGATTCCGCCCGCTGCTGATTTACAAAAAAATAAATGGGTTTATGTTATCGTGTCAAAAATAATATCACACTCGTTCGCTGCGCTCACTCGTGAGGTATTGTTTTTGCCACTCGAACATAAAATCCACATCTCTTCGCAACCGTCTAATATCCTCTATATATTTTACACCTGGTACAAAAGAGAAACTAAAACGGCTTAAACCTAGAGGCTCATTTACACAATACGACAGGTCGTATACGATTGTCATTCTGGAGTATGAAAATGACTGGTGACGCCACTAATCTTGTTCATCTATTTGTGGCGAAATCTGAAATGTGACATCTTTACACGCATTTATTCGAATACAAAATCCAGGATAAGAATCGTATATGCGACTATAGTCGTATCGTGTAAATGGGCCACTAACATTCACTTTGTTATCACCTCGTGGAATGAAAAATTCTATCTTTCATGCACACATGAAAATATTTTTACCATTGCACTCATGTCATGATCATTCATTATTTGTATAATATATTCCTTTATGAAATTCGAAGAGGCTCATATAGCAAATTATTTGTTGCTTTTACCTGGGGAGAATTTTCATTCTGTGGTGGCAGTTTTTTGCGTGCTTTTTTGAGATGACAAACATTAACTTTAGTCTGACTTTACGTGTTTTCGATTATACCTTTTTACATAAAATTTGTTTTAAAGATCGCGTTTTAATTTCTGGTGCCATTTTTATACGTTCTGCTGAGCAAAGTAATTAAGTAATAGATGCCTTAATAATTAAATGCCACATGCAAGAAATTTTCTAATTGATAAACGTTGTTAATTGATAAACCTTGAAAATAATACTTACTGTTTTGAAAATTCCTACTTTTTAAAGTGTATGATTTGGATGATTTAGACTACACTTTTCAGGAGCTTTCTCCTTGTGAAATCTAAATAAAATATATTTCATTACTTTTATGAAAAACAATTTTCACTTGTCTAGATACCATGACAACAACATTATTTTCGACTTATTCACTTTTCTGCATTTCTTTTATCCCTTAATTTTAATTTATATTCACCAGTTTCAATTTCGTGTGCTCGATTATTTAATTTGCTCAATATAATTAAGTTAACAATTGTCCGTGTTGATATACAGTTATATCAACACGAGTGGAAATTGGGAAAATGAGAAATTGTGTCGGGAAACACGGGCGGAGTGTTTTCACACAATTTCTCGTTTTTCCAATTTCCACGAGTGTTGATATAACTGTATATCAATAGGGAAAAAAAATTTTATATTTATTTTATGATATAGCAGAAAGAAATATAAAGAAAGAAATTTTTCAACGTTTCCGTGTTGACATTGAGTTACATCAACACGGCTCTTAGCCAATCAGCGTTCAGAATTTACAAATGCTATATTTAATTATTAACAACATACCTGCATGTACTTTGCATATACGAGGTTACATTTAAAACTATTGTCGTATGAATTTACGCATTCAAACGTCTATTTGTCAGTCTATAGTAAGGCGAATCATGTTTAGCTTGGGATTTGTCATCCTCATTTTAAAAGTATTAAAGCAAGGCAACTGCTCAGAAGCAGCCTTGTTTCAAAAACACAAAGGAAAACACTTGGCAAATTATGTTATTTCGACTTATGAAAGAACAAAAAGTGAGGTGGAGTGCGGTACATATTGCCTTGGACATGGCATGTGTGCGTCTGTAAGTTATAAAACTTCTGGAAAAGATAAAGGTCTGTGCGAGCTCAACACGGAAACACTTGACGCGAAAAACGGTGAAGGAACACCTAATGCTGAATTCAATCATCTCTATATAATTAACCGGGTAAGAAGTCTTTTTGAATTTGCGAAAAGGGTGCAGTCCTGAGGCTCTTGTAATTTGATACCCATGCATGCATTCTCTCTCGCCTACTGTATGAAGCCAGTAATTCCTTTATATAACTGTAAAACCAAGCACTATAGCAACATTAAATCATGCTTTCTTTAATTTTAATATTATAGCGTCTTTCGGGACATTTACCTTTAGTTTCATATCAGTTTGATTTATGAGTTTATTATCTACAACGTTAATTCAAAGAATTTAATTCATCTGTCCATTTCATTTTCGCTGCATGCCTTATGTATATACATCTATTTGCATATAAAGTTGGAGTGTCTTGTAGATGGAAATTTATATAGCCTATACATTTTTTAGACCATTCAACTCGGCAATAGTTGATTTCGTAGGGGACTCCGGTAAAGTGGGAAGTGCTACAGGTCATACAGAGGACATGGATGGGAATCTTGGAAAACTCAGATATATTCCTATATAGATTTCCTGCTATAATTGTTCGAATAGGACTAGGTATATATGATACTGATTGAGCGAGAAGTCGTGCCATCTTTTTTCGCTTGGCATTTTTTAAGAAATTACAACTACGTCAATGAGGGCCTTTTCCCCACACAGTTACGGGTACATAAAAATCATCCTGTGCTCAGGGGCAACGCTAGTGGTATTTGAATGGGCGGGGAGGGGGGGGGTGTAAGTGAAATATTGCCTACTAATTTCAAATGCTAATTAGTGTTTCTTTTCCCAAAATTGTTGGCGAGCGAGCTGGGGGTGGGGAGGGGGGTGCTTCACGGCTCAACATCACAAATTTTTCGGTGACATTATAATTTCCATTTTCATATGCATTGGTTAACGTAGCATTGTTTGTTTATTAAATTTTCCATAATTTTAGCTGTAGCCTGTAGTCATTAGATTTTTATCAGTGTCAATCAAATATTTTAGTTTCTTTCCCTCCTATCCAACTGGGATTAGATAATTTGCCAACTACAACCCCCTTTTAGCGCCGCCCCTGCCTGTGCTGACTTATAAGAGGGAATATCGAGAATGTGAGAGGATATGAGAAAGCACGCAGGTGACGCAGTCAAAAGGGTCCAGCTCATCTGGAAATCATGCTTCACGACCGGGGCAAGCAAAGGGCCTGCTGGGGTATATGCCCCAGTAGTTGTATAGTTAAAAAATGCCCTGCTTGTGTACGTAGATCTCGCCTATACGACTCGGTCCATATACAACCGAAGAAAAGAACTCGACTAATATCCTATCGTCCAGACCGAACAAGCTCAGTAAATAAATTCATTCTTCGAAAAACAAACTTTATATTGATAAATTAATTCCAGAATAAAGTGTTTATACCAGACTATTTGAAAATTTAAAAACGCAGGCCTGATTTTAAATTTCGGCAAACGATTTTTGACCAAGAAAAAACGATAACAACATATTTTCAGATATTAATATATTAATACCATCATTCGACGGGATTCTATTGTTCCGAGCGGGAATTTAATCTCTAAATTCCCGGTCGATTTATAAATTTCCCGTTGGCAAGGGTCAAACCCTTTTGTCTCCCTGAAGACTACACGTTAGACTACGCATATAATCGTGCAAGGAACAGCAACATCCGATCACTGAGCCTGTTGTTGCGTCATTTAAGTTACGCTCGTGCAGTCTGCGATTTTATACAAATATATTTATTTTTTTTGTTGTTGTGCGTTAAATGATAGATTGAACATGCGTAACCGATTAAAGCGTATAAAAGGTGCGCATGTGCAACTAGTTTTTACATCCCATAAGCAAAGAAGGAAATGTTTTAGCTTAAATTCGCTGATTATAAGTAGAGCATGCGTGTCTTCGGGCTCGGCGCCCTCGGGAATGCCACAAACCTCCCTCGGCTTTTGGGAATTCGGGGACATCTAATCACTAATTTCCCTCATACCATGGTATTACCCACAACAAAAGTCGAAAACCGAGTTTCTCTCTAGTTCGCCAAAAAAGCCTTTCATGCAAATGATGCAATGGCGGCATTTGCAAAATGATTAAGTATCACTATGTTACTTAGCAGTCCAGGTGTTATAAAGCGTTTCAGTTATTTGTTAGCAACGTTTTAACACAAGCTAGAGTATAGAACATTAATTTATTTTACATACAATATGAACCAAAGTCACACAGTCATTTTTACAGCAGCAAAAAGTGTTATATAAGTTCTTAATTATTCTCCTTCTCCACTATAAATCTTACGTCGAATCCCAATCTTTTTGTAAATTCTTTTTCCTCAAAATTTAACATTTTTATTTTTATTGGGTTTCCTAAGCGTTTTTGTATAATTTTTCTGTTATTCGATCGATTTAGTCAAAATATTGTGTTCTGTGTTCCCCGGTCCCTATACCATCATCTTGAACCAACACTAAGTTGAATTTTTTATTAGCTAACACCCTGAACCTATATAAATCTTTCTTCAAGGATTGCCAAGAACGCGGACAAGTGTTTTCATCAAGTAAGTTGTAATAATTCTGTATAACCCTTTTTATTTTTTTTCTTGCGGTCCGAAGTCATATTTTACGCTTTTCTGCAATCTGATTGGCTACGTGAGCGGTCCGTATGAGCCCGTACGGACCGCGCGAGATTTAAAGCCGTAGAGCCAATGTTTTTATTTTTCAAAATTTAAAGACGAGTTTAAAGGCTACTTTTTAAAACATTAAAATATCTGCAGACGATGAAAAACACAGTGAAAACGAATTTTACTATCTCACAAAAGATATTTCTCTTCCCGATAGCATTGATAGAAACGACGTTTTATTTAGCAGCTTCATTCGCGTGTGGGAGGAGTGATTGGGGAAATCCAGAGGAGGAATTAAAAAAAATAAAAATATTATTTACCGGTATGGTCGGTCCGTATTGAGAAATATTTCTCTCGGTCTTAAAAACGTCCCTCGGCCTTCGGCCTCGGGCCGTTTTTAAGACCTCGAGAAATATTTCTCTATACGGACCTCCAATCCGGTAAATAACATATATATATTTTAGGTTACGAAGATTGACACTTAACACATTAATTCGTTTTGTTGGCGATTAGTTACGTAATAACTTAATAAATTAGTAAGTAACAGAAATCGACTAGATTAAAATTAATTGCATTGAGAACAACATGATCAAAATATGGACAGTCACATAATATAGCTCGATTTGACATTTAAATTGAAGTATAGACCGCTAAAAATACAGTGTAAATGTGAGCGAGCAAGAAAGGGCTTTCATATCGCGACATATAGCACAAGGAAATATATATTTACTGAGCTACGCATTTGCTGTGATAATTTACTGTGATTTCGGTGGAGAACTTCTGTTCTACGGAGGGAACATATTCTCTATATACACTCTTGAGCTGAAAAAATTACCCTTAAATCAAGACTTCTATATTTTGAAGAACATTGGTTCTTGTTTAAAAAAATTAACGTTTAATTAAACTGCATTGGCGTACGAGACAGGGGGCACTCCCCTCCACTTGGAAAACCATGAAATTCGGGCAAATGCTGGGAAAAATAAGAAAATTCGAGCAAATTTTTCAAAAAAACCCATTGCAATCCGCCATACTAATTCGGGCAAACGTTCAATTGGCCCCCTAATCATCAGCCCCGTGCGCCTGTGCATTTCAAACTTTGTTTCAGAATATTTCATATCTTGCTTGATTCTTGAAATATTTTTGACTCAAAGTAATGAGCTGTCCGCCATCTTGGATTATTGATATTATATATGCATGATATTACGTCACAAGTACAATTAAGTTTTAATTATCCTGACAGCCAGTGATCAACATGAACTGTCCGACATTCGTTTTTGTTGCTATTTCAAATTTCGAAAAACCTTTTAACTTAAACAACATATTTTGATTGTTATACAAAGTTAATAACTTTATAACGAAGTAATTTTAATTGACTAACCAGCTCATTCCTGATGTCATCAAAACTATAGTTAATGAGGTTATTTAAGAATTAGTTCAAGATGGTAGATAGCTAGATTGCATGCTTTCAGTCAAATATTTCAAGACTAGTGTCCTTAACAGACGTTAATTTGTTGAATCTTCCAACGTTTCAATAGTCATAGGATTATACGTATAGTTTTGATCCGCCAGTGCATGCGAAGGAACATTACATTTTAAATCCACCAAGCTGTGTAATCACTTACTTTCAACCGACGTAGTGATCCGGTAAATTTTAAAATTCTATATACTTATCAATTTTAGAAACAAAACGATGCAATCAAACTCCATCTTGCAGGGAGTTGTTACTCCAGAAAGGGTAAGTTATACAATAAAACCTGATTTACACTAATAACATTGCGGTAAGAATCCAACGACGTGGAACAATATAACAACGATAATCGATTAATTTATTTTTTTTTTTAAATTTTTTTTGCCCAATTATATAACAATAAGAAGTAGAATTAAATATTTACAAAATTAGGGCTAGGAACCTTCTAGAAACCAAAAGGCTTTTGTTCAAGGTCCCTAGGTAATAATTATATAACTAGCTATATTCATAATCTAACATGCAGTTCGAATGTTGTTTTTTAAAGTCAGGAAATATATTATAATTAATGTACAATACATTACTGTAAAATAGTAAGCTGGAGTTATATTACATTTGAAAGAGAAAAATAGATTGAGGTCCGAATGGCGCGGGTTATCAACAATATATATATATATATATATATATATATATATATATATATATATATATATATATATATATATATATATATATATATATATATATATATATATACAGGATGAGCCATGCCGCTTACGCATTGCGCACGCTCACTGCTTGCAGTTTGAGCGCTCTGGCATGGTTTTGATGTCCCACAATCGTGAGGCATCAAAGGTAACTATAAATAAGAGTTACTTTCATCCTGCTCATCAGCACTACACTGATGAGGCCCATTAGGCCGAAACGGTACCGTCTGTAGTTAGATATCGCTCTATGGCCTTTGTGTCATATTGAGCGCTCTACAGGATGAGCCATGCCGCTTACGCATTGCGCACGCTCACTGCTTGCAGTTTGAGCGCTTTGGCATGGTTTTGATGTCCCACAATCGTGAGGCATCAAAGGTAACTATAAATAAGAGTTACTTTCATCCTGCTCATCAGCACTACACTGATGAGGCCCATTAGGCCGAAACGGTACCGTCTGTAGTTAGATATCGCTCTATGGCCTTTAGGTCATATTGAGCGCTCTACACGATGAGCCATGCCGCTTACGCATTGCGCACGCTCACTGCTTGCAGTTTGAGCGCTCTGGCATGGTTTTGATGTCCCACAATCGTGAGGCATCAAAGGTAACTATAAATAAGAGTTACTTTCATCCTGCTCATCAGCACTACACTGATGAGGCCCATTAGGCTGAAACGGTACCCTCTGTAGTTAGATATCGCTCTATGGCCTTTAGGTCATATTGAGTGCTCTACAGGATGAGCCATGCCGCTTACGCACGCTCACTGCTTGCAGTTTGAGCGCTCTGGCATGGTTTTGATGTCCCACAATCGTGAGGCATCAAAGGTAACTATAAATAAGAGTTACTTTCATCCTGCTCATCAGCACTACACTGATGAGGCCCATAAGGCCGAAACGGTACTGTCTGTAGTTAGATATTGCTCTATGGCCTTTAGGTCATATTGAGCGCTCTACAGGATGAGCCATTGCCGCTTACGCATTGCGTACGCTCACTGCTTGCAGTTTGAGCGCTCTGGCATGGTTTTTGATGTCCCACAATCGTGAGGCATCAAAGGTAACTGTAAATAGCAGTTACTTTCATCC